GGCATTAGTGGTTGTTGTTGGGGGGGAGCGGTGTGTGTGAAACTAGTAGCTCTGTGGAAGGCAGGAAGACCTTTTTAGGAGGTTCACGCCCTGATTCATGTAATGACCCACTTACTAAGTCACAATTTTCCAGTGATAGGCCTGGGAATCTATAGAACTAGAAAGTATCTGAGGTGATAGAATCAGGCAAATTGGGGTGCTTAAAAACAAACTTTGGACCTAAGAAATGTACTTTCTGGGACCAGTTTTGCTACTGACTAGCTATATGAGCTCATGGAATTGTTTTCGTTTTTCCATCTTGAAAATTGAGGGTTTTAGACTAATTACTGTGATTGTTCCTTCTATAATTCTATGCTTCTAAATAAATCCAACCTTAATTGAACTACTTTTTACTTATAATGGCTATTTTTTTTCCTTCTGTGTCTTATTGACCCTTTGATGAAGACGGATTGCCTACTCCTATTCAAGTATTTCTGCTTTTCTCTGCCTTAGTATGAATATATATTTCCCACATTCTCCAAATGGTGTTTGGATTATGTTAAAATGAAGCTGTGGTCTTTGCATTATGTCTGTTGTCTGCCACACGTTTTCTTGGTTTCTTTTTTTTTTTTTAATTAGTTGGAGGCTAATTACATTACAGTATTGTAGTGGTTTTTGTCATACATTGACATGAATCAGCCATGGATTTACATGTATTCCCCATCCCAATCCCCCCTCCCACCTCCCTCTCTACCCGATCCTGCTGGGAAGGAAACAATGCCAGTTCTCCACTTATTATGAGCAGGAAAATCTCCACGTAAATGTTCTGAAACCATTGATAATTAACACAGTGTTCAAATTATATGATAGCTGCAAACTGCCAAGATTGCCCATCATTATATGTATCCATTTTGAAGAGTAGAGAGCAATGTTTATTGGATGCTGACTTCAGTCATACGTGCCTGAAGCAGACATCAGGCCTGTAACCGGGGAGATGCTGATCACCCTTTCTTCCTCTCAAAGGGTTATACCAAGAGGGAAGAAATAATTAGCATTCCCTAATTTATGCATGTGGTTGATGTAGGCCTGAGTGTTAGAAGGTGTCTCTGGCTGGCTTGTTTTTCTTCTTTCTTTTATTATAAATGTAGCAAGAATGAGTTGATCTGGTACATGCAGGAACCTGTGACCCACCCAGCATTAATTATTATACCCATTTAAGAGAGGAAAAGGCAAACAAAGTCCATGGAAAGTTCATGGACTTTAGAACTAAACAGGTTTCATCACTTACTGGCTTCATCACTTAACTGAATTTTGGCAAATAATTTAATCGTCCCATTTCTTCATGTGTGAAATGGGCACAGTATCATTTGTCCTGCAGGGATGATGTGAGGTTTGCCAGTATTATCAAAGGTGCCTAGCTTTGTCTGGCTGGCACCTAGTAAACAAACTCCTATGTGTGTAGCTCCTTGTACAGAACCTGAAATATTTTAGGTTCTCAATGAATATTGAGCATGACAAATAGATAATAAAGTATACTGAATTTGTAGTAAGCATTTAGTAAATGGTAACTATTATGATTACATAAAGTAAAACTGTGGATTTTTTATAATATCAAATGTATTTGTTGCATTTTTCAAAGTTTTAATTACTATTTCTCTGCAAATATAGATGATAAAGTAATTATTCTACAGCAGGTCAGAGAGAATTAGTATAAACCTAACAAATATGAAATAGTAGGCTTTAAAAGCTTAATAATTCTATGGATGGACCTAGAGAATATTATGCTAAGTGAAGTCAGTCAGGCAGAGAAAGGCAAACACTGTATGATATCACTTATATGTGGAATCTAAAAAAAAACCACAAATGAATCTATGTACAAAGCAAACAGACTCACAGACACAGAAAGCAAACTTTCAGTTACCAAAGTGGAAATGGAGGAGGTAGGGATAAATCAGGAGGTAGGGATAAATCAGGGATAAATCTATTTTATGCTATACATAAAATAGATAAGCAGCAAGGATTTAGTGTATATATATATATACACACACACAATATCTTTTAATAAACTATTAATGGAAAATAATCTGAAATATATATACACACATATATAACTTTAAAAGATGTCATCTGAACAATCCATATATAGTTGGGCAAACATATTTTGTATTAAAATTCCTGAATATAGCATATATAAAGTTTAAAAAAAAGCTTATTGGTTCCAACAAATGATGCCACTGTATTCAGATGTTACCACAGTCAATCAGATGTTACATACATACATATAATAATGTGATACCTGCATACACAGGGGCTAACCCCCATGTACCAGGTGAAGAATATTCTATAATACCAGTACCTTTCGCTTCCCTAAGGGGATTTGCCTGCCCTCCTTGCCGTTCACATTATTTGATTCACTTTTTGGTTTTATTTCAGGATTATACTTGTGATTATTGAGCATCTGTTATGTGGCATTCTGTTGTATTCAGAGTACATGATGACTCGCCAGACGTCCTAGATAGATGATCTATAAACTTTTACACCTAAATCTAACTGATTAAGGCATTGTGGCCATGGGATCCTATACCTTGTCTTTTGTAAGCCTGTGCTTTTCCTTCAAGCTGTCTTTGGTAATGCACACATTTTTATGCAGTTATAAAATGTATTGTAGGTAATGCTTTTGGAGGATTTCTGCTACATATAAAAATTTTCTCACAGAAACTTAGTAAAAATAGGGGCCCTAGCTACTGCATATCTGTCAGTAGTTTCTTTGCAAGATTTGGCTTATTTTGGTTTAACATTACTTGTGATCATTTAAAATTGGGGAAGTGAAAGTGTTATACTTGTTTGTAGAATTTCTATATTTGGAGACGTTGTAGTCAAAACTTGATTTATGAAACTTCCTTCTGTGTTCACTTTATTTAGCTCCTGACACCATGCTTCATCCAGTCACAAACTATAATTCTGGGAGTCCATGGTCTCTTTTAGCTCATAGAAGTTCTACCTATTGTAAACACTTTGTTGTTCCTCCAGTTCATTCCCTCTACTCCCTTCCCCTCTCTTCCTGCTGCCAGGGTTCTAGATCAGCTGCCAGATGTCATTTTTACCTGTGCCAGGTAGTCTAACTGAGCTCCCTGTGGCAGGCTTGGCCTTTTCTTCACAATTGACTGTCTTAAGTGAAATAGGACTGTATCCCTCCTTAAAACCTTTTAAGACTTGTCAGCCATAGGTTCAAGTCCAGAATTCTTAGCATTACAGCTATACCTAATTCTTACTCACCTGTGAAGCTCAACACAGTACCTCCTCTAGGAGTTCTTGACCAGCCCACCACAGTTTAGATATTTTTTTTTCTGTATGGTAAGCAGCTCCAAACCTAGAGTTCACATTACCTTTGAGAAAAGAGGGAAGAAAACCAACTTGTACATGAGTAAAATTTCCTCCTACCTAAAAAGATTGTAGTGACAGGTGAAGTCTTAAGTGTGGTAAAAGGTTCCAAGTTCCATTGCAGTGAAGCTTACTAACATCTAGAGAAAGAGTGCACTTTGAGAGGGAGGACGGTCTGTCGTGGCAACACACAGAAAAGTCAGGAGTCGAGACTAAAACTCACTGTGTGTTAATAAACTGGATTTCATATACCAGTTTTTTGTTAGTGTGACTTACTTTGGTGGTTATACAGGTACCATCATCTTTCCCTTGAGCACCATGCATCGTTGTGTATTAATAAACTGGATTTCATATACCAGTTTTTTGTTAGTGTGACTTACTTTGGTGGTTATACAGGTACCATCATCTTTCCCTTGAGCACCATGCATTCACTGGGATAGGTGCCTTGTAACACTTCTTGGCAGCTAGTCAACCAGCTCCTCTGGGGACACCTTCTGCCACGATGCACACTTCTTTAAGCCTTCTTTGTTCAGATGGCTTGTGCAAACATTTTTTCTCAGGCTTCTAAAAATACTCATAGTTGAATGATTTGGGTAAATAGATGAGTTACTGAGCAGTCTTTCAATGTAGTAGTGTTTTCCTGCAATGTTACAAACCATGGCTTTAATTAAGTGCATTACTGTGAATCTGCTAGGTCTTCACTCTCCCTAATTGGTCCTGCCCTCCAGATTTCCTGGAACAAATTTTGAATTTATTTGTAGTAAGATGATGAATTCAGGGTTCAAAGTTATATCATATTCTTCCTTCCTGGACACCCAGGAAACCATTTTTAAGTCATTTTAAAAACACCCACCATGTGTCAGGCAGTGTACTGGGTTACGTTTAATACTTAAAAAAAAAAAAAAAACTCCTGCCAATTATTTTTACAGATGAGAAATCTGAGACTTTGTAAGATTAAATGACTCTTCTGTGATCACAGCTAGGAAAATAAAGTTGGGATTTGAACCCAGAGCTGTTAATTTCCAAATTCCCTTCTCTTCCTAGTGCAGAATATTTCCTTAGTATGTTTGTTAGGTATAAATAAACATACATGTTTTAATAGTTACTTTTAGTCCATTTTTATAAACCTGTAGAACTGAATTAAACAGCTATGCTACATTTATTTTGGATATTTTTCTTGCTCGAGTTTTTTTTTGTTTGTTTGTTTGAAGGAGAAGAGTATTATGACTTCTCATGTTATTGTACACTTAATTTATAGAGTTGATTTCTCTGAAATAAATTCTTGGCTGGTTGTAGCAACCCTCCTCTTTCACAAATTAGTTTCTACAAAATTGGTTTATGCCAAAGGTTCTTTATTCAGTATTTACCATTAAATATGACTTTTTCTGTTAAATGGTTTTATTTTAAAGGCAGCACCGTTACCCAACAAAACCTTCTACTCTTCCCCAACTGTAAATTCTGCCTGTTCAGCAGCAGCCGAAGCTCTGCATTGTTTTCTGTTGGAAGTGTGAGCTGAAGGGGACAGGCATTCCTGGTGCTTAGCGGGTGCACTGAGCTGCGATCTGCCCTTGTTGTATTATTAATGGCACCATGTTTTCATGTTGCAGATGGCTGAGCGTTAGCAAGGAAAATTCAGGACCATGATGGCTCAGTTTCCCACAGCAATGAATGGTAAGTAGCTTCATGCTTGTGGTGAGATAAAGTGGTTATGAGATTTTGGATAGAAGTTATAAAATATTCATTTAGATATTTTCCCTTAAATTTATAAATGCAAAATTTCAAGTATTCTTGTTGAAAGAATTTAGATAGTTTATTTCAAAACACTGTGTGTGTCTTCTATTAGAATATTATGCAGTAAATCCCAAAGCTCAATATAAGCATGGTCTGCAGTATCATCTGGAGTGTGTGCTTCGCTTTGAGCAGTTAAGAGTAACCTAAGCATCCATTATGTTTAATGCATAAAACTGGAAGACAGAAAGCGTAGTGCCATAAATGAATAATATTAAAGATGTTTTTGATAGCATGAGATGATTGTAAACTGATTAAACCAGTAAAGATTCATTCATTAATGTACATATAAAATTAGTTTTTTTTTTCCCTTTTATGAAGGGTTTTGTATCTACCTATACACACAGTTATTTAATAGGAAACATTGTAGAGGACATGTTTAGGTTATTTCAATAATGAAAAGTTTTTAAAGGTTCTGATTCGAATTTTAATTTGTTTCTCAGATATACATTATCCACCTTTAATAGGTATTTTTTTACTGTGTGTATCATTTATAATTGAGAAAATGCATTGTGTTTTTAAATTACTAAGGTAATTAACGATGCTGAGTTCTGAATTATGACGTAGATTTTATTAGCTAATTATAAATATAAGGAAATAAAGAGTCCACTCAATAATTCTTTAACACTTGAACTGAAAACTAATTGAAAAGAACACTAGGGGAAAAAAGAGGGAAAAATCACCAATAATTCAAAGCCTTCACATAGGATTGTGTTAATATTACCGATTCATCAATTCCTTTTTTTTTTTTAATGTTTTCAATCATAGGGCCAAATCAGTACATTGTTAATAAAGAAAATGTATGTTGTATATCTTAAGTTTTAAGACTCAGGATTGATCTTGTGACATTTAGAAAAGTTTTCGAAAAATGAATTATTTTCATAAAAAGTTAAAATAAGTTTTAATATATGGTAGGACGCTGTCATTTAAGGATGGACTTGAGATAAGGGTTTTGTTGTTTTTTGCCTTTTCAGATGTGAGCATTGCTCCTTCTCTGGAAATGGTATGGGATTATAAAGATTATTTGATGCCATGGACTATTTCTTAAAATGAATTTTTTTTCCTTAGTGAGTGTTAAATGTAAGTTTAGAATGAGGGTAATAATTGTGGTAATAATGTGCTTTACTCAAATTTGAGAATTTCTATGCCACATACTAAGGAGTTTGCTGTAAATACATGGTTTAATCTTCGACCTACATGTTAAGCATGCTTATAAACAAAATGAGCATAGTAGAAATCATTGTAGACCTGGTCTTTCTTCATTTTTTTTTCCCCCATTCTCTGAACATTTACAGATCACTTTGTAGCTTATTCCATTATATGTAAAATATTGGAAACAAACAAGATGTTCAATAACAGCAACAGAAAGATTAAAAAATGTTGGACAATTAATTTAGGAATGCTCAGTTGCTGAAGTCGTGTCCAACTCTTTGTGACCCCATGGACTGTAGCCTGACATTCTCCTCTGTCCAAGGGATTATCCAGGCAGGAAAACTGGAGTGGGTTGCCGTTTCCTTCTCCAATTTAGGAATAGTATATAAGAATAAAGATAGTAATTTTTTAAACTTCTGAAGAAGTGATAGCTAATGCAGAATGTAGTACCTTCCTACTTACTTTATAAAGTAACTGAGGATTGAAGATAATCTTATATATATCTGAGTCCAGTTCAGGGTTTAAAATCTTATTGAAAGAAGCATCCATGTATAGCACAAACCTTCAAGAGCAGTGTTTGCTCCTTCAATACATTCTCAGTCATAGATTGGGTTAAACTTTTTTGATGTCCAGTGCTATTGGAACTTGTCTCTAACTGCCCTCCCTGGACCAAGCTGTTTGTCTAAATATTTCTGACACAGTCCTGAAATTTTGCCATGTCTACTTTATCATCCTGAGACTAACCACAGACTTTTAAGACTTTTTTGGTTCTTAGAGCTGTATTGTCTAATACGGTAGCCATTAAGTACATGTGGCTATTTAAATTTAAATTAATAATAATTAAGTAAAATTTAAAAATTCAGTTCTTTCAGTCACACAGCCAAGTGTGCTGAGAACCACATGTGCTCGGCTAGTGGCTACTATATTGGACAGTGCAGATACATCTCAGATAGCTCTGTTGAATAGGTATTCTTTCTTTGTCTGTGTGCTTACCATTTGCTTACAGAACTAAAAGATCATTGCATCATATTTTTACCACTTAGAATTTTACTTCTGGTGTCTTCTGCATGAGCAGAGTCATCCTTGCCAAAACCGTTTTAGTCATGGTAGGTTTGCTTTCTGCTTTTCAGAAATGTAATGAAATTATAAATACAGAGGGCATGATACATGAGCCATAAGGTGATAGGCAAGAGGCCACTTTGGATACATGTTGCTGCCAGTTGGTATCATAGTATGTTGTGGCTTGTTTCAACCTCAAAACTGTGGAGGTACTAAAGGCTGGTTATGTGAGTATGAAATTCTGGAGCCCATGACAGTGGTTCTGTCTAAAATCTGGAAGAGAGAAGGAAGACGGAGAGAAGAAACAGCTAGTAGCTTAGGACTACCATTTTTATTTTTAGAACCTTTAATTTATTACCTTTTAGAATTTTGGAGCTCTTTACTCTTTATGTAATTAAGAAATTTTTGTTGAACATTGGACCTGGAATCAGCTGTAGTGTTGAACTGCATATGTAACAACCCAAGCATTTATTACTCAAGTCCCTACAGTTAGGCTTTTGTTCTATCTAGACCAGTATTCCAGTTGTGTTTTAGAGATTTAACTTAGTACTGGATCAACGTATATCATTTGATTATTATTTTGAGATGAACAAATATACCAGTGAAGACTGTTTCTGATATCATTTAATTATTAACAGTGTACAGGTGGGATGTAACCTATCTGAATCATGTATGCTCGGAACTGTGTGTTAGAATACTGCTCTGCCACTACCCAGCTGTGTGGCTTAACCACATGGAACTTATTTTTGTGTGTATATGTACGTACACATATGTGTGTATACATAGATGTAAAACAGGAATGACACTACTTACTGCATGGGGTCTAGCATATAGCTGATGTTCTGTAAACGTGTTTTTCCTTCTACATAGACCATAAGAATATATTTGTCAGAGCCAGTGGATGAGACTAAGCGACAGAAATCTTTATGAAAATACCACTTTCTCAATTTAGTGATGAGTTGGGGAAGTGGATAGAATTTTAATATATTTCTAAAGTAATCATCAGAGAATGTAAAAGGTTTTAGGTTTTTAAGGAAATAATTGGAAACATCAACTCCAAAACTTAGATTTTCCTGCCTTTCTGTAACACTTATGAATAAATATAGATTAAGATGTGCTTTACTTGAGGTTCAAAGTAATAAGCTGTTGACTCTTCAGAAGGTTCTTTTAGTACATATTCTAAATAAGAAAGCCAGAATTGGATCAACTATTTCAAAATTGGCTTTGAATTACATGTATTTCATAGCTTTAGTGTCCCGATTTGAATATTATTTGAATACTAGTTAAAAATTATTCCTTCTCATTTGACTTAGAATATTTTTATTGTTAGTAACATTAATCATGACAATATTTAATCATGACTGTTGTGTATGACTCTCTTGGCTTGTGGAGCCCCTTTGAATATTAGAAAGTCTCCAAGCTTGTTTAAGGCATTCATTTTATTCCTCTTTATACCATTGTTGCCCCATAAATGTTAGTTGCATGTATGTATATAAAGTATCAAAATTTCTGATACTTTTGGAGTCATGAGGAACTAAGCAGTAAGCATTATCAGATAGATTGAGTTGACCACTGTGAAGCCAGGTACCAAAGAAAGGTGAAAGTATCATGTGATGGGACTGACACCACTACCCTTCTGCTGCAGCAGATCTCTCTGTAGTCTGAGGGTAGCAGACTGTCTTTGCCTGGGGATGTACACAGAAGTATGTTAGAGCCGTTCAAACTTCCCCAACCAGACTGTTCAAACTTAAAATAGTCTTAGGGTTTCTGACTAAAAAGTGTCACATTCAGTATCTTTCTGGCAAGAATACCTTTATCACAAAAAGAGCCTATGAAAGGTTTTGATGCTCTGCCTTCTGCCTAATTATGCCATTCCCTGGGATTGGATTGAGTGAGTGAAAGTCACTCAGTCGTGTCCAACTCTTTGTGACCCATGGACTATACATTCCATGGAATTCTCTAGGCCAGAATACTGGAGTGGATAGCCGTTCCCTTCTCCAGGGGATCTTCCCAACCGAGGGATTGAACCCAGGTCTCCCACATTGCAAGCGGATTCTTTACCAGCTGAGCCACAAGGGAAACCCTGGGATTGGGTAAGGAAACTAATTTACTGAGCACACGTCATGTGACAGGCATGTGTTTGATGTGTTATATTTTTGTTTTAAGTTGGATTTATTGAGGTATAATCCATCCTTTTATACAGTTTGATGAGTTTTGACAAGTGTATACAGTTGTTTCCAGGAATGTATATCACTGAAATATAAGTGCCCACTATAATTTTAAACACTAGATGGATTTGATCTAATATTTCTTAGCCCCAAATGACTGTTGTTTTTTTTTTTAATCTATAAATATCTTCTCGTAAAGACAAGGTTTAAGATTAGAGTTAAACAGGGACTTTCCTGGTGTCCCAGTGGTTAGGACATGGCACTTTTACTGTGGTGGCTCAGGTTCAATCCCTGGTTGGGAAACTGAGATCCTGCATGCCTGAGGCAACAACTTTGTAAAGCAGATTTTTATGGACTATAGTCAGCAAACATGTGTGAGTTTATATACCTAAACATACTTGGTATCTTATTGGTAGAAACTGAGTAAACTGGAAGGGTAATCAGAAGTGAAGTATAGATGACTGTTAGCCATGTTGAGTTTTTTGTTGTTCTGTTGCTAAGTTGTGTCCGACTCTTTGCAACCACACAGACTGCAGCACACCAGGCTCCTCTGTCCTCCACTGTCTCCCAGAGTTTGCTCAAATTCATGTCCTTTGAGTTGGTGATGCTCTCTCATCTCATCCTCTGCCATCCCCTTCTCCTTTGCCTTCAGCCTTTCCCAGCATCATTGTCTTTTCCAGTGAGTCGGTGCTTCTTGAATATATAGCTTTAAAGACCTCCTCTGTGGACCAATATAGTTATATGTGAAGGATAGACACCAGAAAGATTTGTAAATGAATTTGTCTTTTCCTGAATCATGATCTTGCCTCTCTGGCTTTTTTTTTACTCCTTCTGATTTTTTCAGATATTTATTCCTCAGTCAATTTTAAGTGTGTGCTCTGTAATACTCTGCTGGTTCTGAGGATAGAAAGATAAACACACAAAGCTCTTGTCCTCCAAGGACTCATTGTGTGGTAGAACAGATGGATAGAAAACAATTATTGAACCTTTGTAAGTGCTGTATAGAAGCATGGTGAAGTCCTTTGAGAATCTAGAGGAGGAAACAATTAATTTGACCTGCAGGTGTCAGAGACCTCCTAGACAAAATGACCCATGCCCTGGACCTTGAAAGGTAAAGTTTGAAATGGAAGAGGGTTATGTGAATGGCAGTCCAAGTAAAGGGAACATGTCACAGGATGAGAAAGACAAATATTATATATTGATATATGGGGTTTGTAAGAATTTCCTTTTGTGAGATACAGATATAGTACCAACCTCCTCGTGGGTCCTCAGTTTTTGTTTTGTATACAGAGAAGTCCATACTCCTGGGACTCAGGTGCGCAGGGCCTGCCTAAGACTGAGAGTGGATCAGTCAAAGCCATCTGGTGGGGGATGGCAGACTCAGAGTTACATACATTGTAAGGTGCTTCCAGCAGTTTAGGAGTGCCTCACCAGGGCATCCTCCTTGGGGAAGAAGACTCCCGGGCCAGCTCTGAAAGAGAAAGTCATGCTTCTCCCCTCCGGTGTTTCTGGGATCTAAGGTATTTTTCTCTAGATGCGGCTTGGGGCTCTCCACTGCCACAAGATTTAGGTGTACTGTTTTGCTTTAGCTTCACTGTTTTCTAGTGATCCAGAAGGGTTAGATGCAAGAGGGACAGGGACATTTTTGTAAACCCTAACCAGAATTAGCTTCACATCCTTTAGATTCCTATTCAGCTGAGCTACCACCTGAAGGATATACCAATCAGCCTGTCCACAGTTGTTTCTAGGAGAAATAGAGATGCATCATGTCCAAGAACCATCAGGGTAGAATCCTCAACTTTCACACTAAGACTTGTATTCGCCTGTGACCCCTCCCCCAGCCCCTTTAGTCCTGATCATTAGCCAGGAAACAGCTAAAGGACAATGATGATCCCTTTCTCGGGACAGCACATTCAGTGGCCAAACTGCCTTACTTTAAGGAGTATGAGCCAGGAGGAGGTTATGAAAGTGGACTCAGCCTTGATCAGTGCATTGTAAACACTTTTTTCTGATAAATGATTCATTAGCATCAGAGTACTGATAGACCAGAAAGCTAAAATCATGACACAGGTTTGTTTTAAGGGCCGTGCTAGTATGGACATAGCAGGCTGATTGGTAACCTAAAAAGTGTCAGCAGTTTGAAGAACCAGCAGTAACCCTAGAGGGCAATCAAAAGTTTGATGTAGTCCATCTGCCAAGAGCCAAAAAGAGGGTAGTGCCCTGTGGCATGAGACCCCCACCCCAGACAGGAATCCTTAAGTCTGGCATGCATTGGTATCCTCTGCCTCAGAAACAGAGTCAGACTTCATCAGAATCTTGATTTCGTCTAAGTTAGAGAATGGGCCCTTGCCATTGGTAGTGACCCAGACTATTCAGTTAGCAATTAAAATTTGTTTCCATTTTGCAGCCCCAGAGAGGGTATCTTTAATTTGTCAGTTGTAATTTTCCAAGTGGCAAATCAAACAGCTGGGCCGTTGGCAACATTTCAAGAATCTGAGCTCTGCCCACTGAAGAAAGTGTGTCTCGTTTTGGCTCTGCTTAGCTCTGAGGCTGAGGAGTCGCGGCGGCCCAGCGGACACTGTCAGAGCTCCAGCTGCTGTGGCCCGTGAGTGAGCCAGGCTGAGGCATCTCAGGGAATTCAGTTGGTCCCGTAGCTTTGCTTCAGGCAGTGGGGAGGGAATAAAGTTTCCCCTTGGCAAACTTGCTGCCACTCTTTCATGTGAAGCCAAAAGGCCTTTGGGGCCAGGCTGTCTCCTGTTCTTGAATATACCATTTCTGTTTGACACCTAAGGCTTCTGAGGGTCCTTCTCACCTTGTTAGTTGTGAAGTTTGTTTGACCCACCCCTAAATGGGAGTCTCAGGCCAGAGAGTCACTGGGCCTGCATAGATCACGCATTCAGACCCAGAGGAGGCTACTTCCCTTTGCCAAAGCTTCCACTTGGCAGAATCTTCAGTAACAAAGATTTGTGCTGTTTCCAGTGCCCAGAGTATAATTTGTTGGGGTTTACTAGCTAGCCCTGCTGGTGGAGGTATTTAGTTTAGCTAGTAGTAGTATACCAGTCCTAATTTATGTGTTTTGACAAATACACTATGGTTGTGTAAATTGTTAACTTAATGGAAATTGGGTGCAGGCTCCGTACTATCTTTGCAACTTTCCTGTATGTCTAAAAGGATTTCAAATAGGGAGGTTACTTTAAAATGTATCAGAGGACACTCCACAACTTACAGGGTAAAGGTTAGCTAAGGATGCTATTTAAGACCCTTTAAAGCTAGGCCTTCCTACCTCTTCCTTAACCGCTTTCCCACACTCAGGTGGCGCTTTAGCTATCAGTCTACTCAGTGCAGTGTCTGGAACATGCCTTGACTCCTCACCCTCTGACCTTGTTTCGTGAAATACCCTTATCCCACCTCTTCACATGGCAAAATTCAAGCCAGTCTTCAAGGCTCTGCCTCAGTCTGACCTTTCTTCTTAGCTCATCACTGATGCTTCTGACTCAGGATTAGCACAGCTTTCTGTATATGTTTTTGCTTAGGATGCTTCATAGGTTAACATTGTAAGCACTGATAGTCATTTTCTAGAGTAAGACTTCCTTGAGGATGGAACAATACTTTATTCATCTTTTTATTTCCAGCATTTAGCTTGTTGCCCATTTCCAGTGAGTGGTACACAGCAATTGTTCAAGTAGATGTTAATTGGGTGATGAGTGAAAAGCCTCAGGACCATACTAGGTACGGTTATGAATAGAGCTTTCTTCTTTGTGTCACTCCAGGATTAGGACTGTCATTAAAGGAACATTTGTGATTCATGTTTACATTCTGAAATTGTATTTAAGCATTCTCATATATGCAGTATAATATCTTTGTCTTTCATTTATGTTTTAGGAGGGCCAAACATGTGGGCTATTACCTCTGAAGAACGGACTAAGCATGACAAGCAGTTTGATAACCTCAAACCTTCAGGAGGTTACATAACAGGTTTGTATTTTATTTGCGATTTATGCTCCCTTTCATGAAATATCTTATAATTAGTTTTAATTTGACTGCCATCAATTTGTACTATTTAATGATAAGTTACATGGTGGTTCAGACATTAAAGAATCTGCCTGCAATGGAGGAGACCTGGGTTCGATCCCTGGGTTGGGAGGATCCCCTGGAGAAGGGAATGGCTACCCACTCCAGTGTTCTTGCCTTGAGAATTCCATGGACAGAGGAGCCTGGCGGGCTACAGTCCACAGCATTGGCAGAGTCGGACACGACTGAGTGTGGTCGTGTATGGATCTGACAGTTAGACCATAAAGAAGGCTGAGCTCCAGAGATTGGTGCTCTTGAATTGTGGTGCTGGAGAAGACTCTTGAGAGTTCCTTGGACAACAAAGAGATCAAACCAGTCAATCATAAAGGAAATTAACCCTGAATATTCATTGGAAGGACTGATGCTGAAGCTGAAACTCCAGTACTTTGGCCAACTAATGCAAAGAACAGACTTATTGGAAAAGACCCTGATGCTGGGGAAGACTGAAGGCAAAAGAAGAGGGTGGCAGAAGATGAGATGGTTAGATAGCATCACCAACTGAATGGACATGAGTTTGAGCAAACTCCCCAAGATAGTGGAGAGGAGCTTGGTGTGGTGTACTATAGTCCATCAGGTCACAATGAGTCAGACACAACTTAGCAACTGAACAATACCAGGGCTTGGAAACCTTTCAGTCTGACTTTGGAATTCATCCTCTCAACCATTATCAGTTCAGTTCAGTCGCTCAGTCGTGTCTGACTCTTTGCGACCCCATGAACCGCAGCACGCCAGGCCTCCCTGTCCATCACCAACTCTCAGAGTTTACCCAAACTCATGTCCATTGAGTCGGTGATGCCATCTAACCATCTCATCCTCTGTCTCCTCCCACCTTCAATCTTTCCCAACATCAGGGTCTTTTCAAATGAGTCAGCTCTTCACATCAGGTCACCAAAATATTGGAGTTTCAGCTTCAACATCAGTCCTTCCAATACACACCCAGGACTGATTTCCTTTAGGATGCACTGATTGGATCTCCTTGCAGTCCAAGGGACTCTCAAGAGTCTTCTCCAACACCACAGTTCAAAAGCATCAATTCTTCTGCACTCAGCTTTCTTTATAGTCCACTCTCACATCCGTACATGACTACTGGAAAAACCATAGTCTTGACTAGACAGACCTTTGTTGACAAAGTAATGTTTCTGCTTTTTAATATGCTGTCTAGGTTGGTCATAACTTTCCTTCCAAGGAGTAAGCATCTTTTAATTTCATGGCTGCAATCACCATCTGCAGTGATTTTGGAGCCCCCCCAAAATAAAGTCAGCCACTGTTTCCCCATCTATTTGCCATGAAGTGATGGGACCGGATGCCATGATCTTAGTTTTCTGAATGTGGAGCTTTAAGCCAACTTTTTCACTCTCCTCTTTCATTTTCATCAGGAGGCTCTTTAGTTCTTCTTCACTTTCTGCCACAAGGGTGGTGTCATCTGCATATCTGAGGTTATTGATATTTTTCCCAGCAGTCTTGATTCCAGCTTCTGCTTCCTCCCGCCCAGCATTTCTCATGATGTACTCTGCACATAAGTTAAATAAGCAGGGTGACAATATACAGCCTTGACGTACTCCTTTTCCTATTTGGAACCAGTCTCTTGTTTCATGTCCAGTTCTAATTGTTGCATCCTGACCTGCATATAAGTTTCTCAAGAGGCAGGTCAGGTGGTCTGGTATTCTCATCTCTTTCAGAATTCTCCACAGTTTATTGTGAGCCACACAGTCAAAGGCTTTGGCATAGTCAATAAAGCAGAAATAGATGTTTTTCTGGAACTCTCTTGCTTTTTCGATGATCCAGCAGATGTTGGCAATTTGATCTCTGGTTCCTGTACCTTTTCTGAAACGAGCTTGAACATCTGGAAGTTCACAGTTCACGTATTGCTGAAGTGTGGCTTGGGGAATTTTGAGCATTACTTTACTAGCATGTGAGATGAGTGCAATTGTATGGTAGTTTGAGCATTCTTTGGTGTTGCCTTTCTTTGGGATTGGAATGAAAACTGACCTTTTCCAGTTCTGTGGCCACTGCTGAGTTTTCCAAATTTGCTGACATATTGAGTGCAGCACTTTCACAGCATCATCTTTCAGGATTTGAAATAGCACAACTGGAATTCTGTCACTTCCACTAGCTTTGTTTGTAGTGATGCTTCCTAAGGCCCACTTGACTTCACATTCCACGATGTCTGGCTCTAGGTGAGTGATCACACCATCGTGATTATCTGGCTTAACCATTATAGTTTAATGTTACTTGTACTTCTGTAATAATAATTATCTTAACTTGTCTCCTGGTAGGGATTTGATTGCCCTGCTTACAAGGTAATAATTTGGTCTGTTACTGTCTCTTGAATGCTGGCGGAATACCCGGAATTCCTAAGTCAGAGACACAGGACGTTCTTTGTAATAGCACAGCTGGCAGCCCGAGTATTGGCACATTTCTATCCGTTTCCCTTGTCCCCTGGTTCATACAGGGGCCATGAGGAGAGCCCAGAAGGATGCTGTACATGCCATGGTTGTGTTAAAGAAGAGGAACACTCAGCCTCAGGGAACCCATCATGTTTTAGCAAGCAGAAAGCAAACTTGTTCTCTGTCCCAGTGGAAAACATTACCTCCTTCCTCAAAACTACTCACAGCAAACCCAATTCTGAGAAATGATCCAGGCAGAGAGCTGTTAGGAACTTACCTTCTTGGCTTACACAGCAGGAGATACAGGATTTTCAAATACCCATGAGGAGTACCTTCCCCAAACCTGGTGTTTTTTTATTTAGAACTCTTCTGGGGAATAGTGCTTTTAGCTATAAATTTTACAAGATAGGGCTATTATCAAGTAAGACCCCAATTATGTGGGAAAACTAAGATGAATAATGTGATCTTTCATCACTTAATGTTTCATTAATGCATATATATCAGTTGTGACATTTTTGTTTTAAAACCTCCTGTCTTATTAAAGTAATATAAATAATTTTTCTTTAATAATTGGAATTAAAATAAATCAACAGAGTTGTTACTAGTGGCCATTTTTGTTATTCAGAGACATCAAAGTAATCCATTTGCTAATGCATTGTTTGATTATTTTGTTTTTATTGCCTTCAGGTGATCAAGCCCGTACCTTTTTCTTACAGTCAGGCCTGCCGGCTCCCGTTTTAGCTGAAATATGGTAAAATGTGTTCTTTTGTAGATGGACTTAACTTTTTAATACTTAGTGTTAACATAAAGTTGTTTTTACCTGTAGTTGTTGTTAATAAGTAAGAGTATTCAGCTTTTTAGAAAATAAATTTTAGTGAGTAAATGACTGAAAATCAGTTGGGGTTTTGTTCTGTAGTACAAAGTTCTAATTTCCTTAGAATTTGTAAAGAAAGGAGATGTATACATTTCTGTTGAAAAACACTTCTTTGTAATTTGCCAAGTCTCCACCTTCATTATGTTATTTTGTAGTTATTTATTTCATCATCTTTAAACCTCAGATTAGCTCACCCTTCCCTTGTTCCTGCCTTAAAGAAATTGTTCTTTATAATATCTAAGGTTTTGGTTTTCTAATGTATTTACAGTAAACATCAACCCCTATTCCAGCCTTCTCTCCATTCCCATGCCTGGCAGAGGGCCAGGCACTTAGCAGGCATTTGGTAAATATTTGAACAAATTGTTTAGAATGATTATACTCTTGTATAATTTCTTTACATTTGGACCAATGGAATTCATCCCAAAGGTATCTAGAGTCTATATAGACCCATAGTATTTTATTAGATACTGTTTTTGGTCAATATTATTGTACAGGTTTTAGCTTTTTGTTATACACATACACTCACATTTAATTAAGTGATTATCTACGTGTAAATGTGATGTTATTTACAAAAGTAATGCTGATCCTATGTAACAGTACACCGGCCTCATCATCCTTTTAGGGCTTTATCAGATCTGAACAAGGATGGGAAGATGGATCAACAAGAGTTCTCCATAGCTATGAAACTCATCAAACTAAAGCTTCAAGGCCAACAGTTGCCTGTGGTTCTTCCTCCTATTATGAAACAACCTCCTATGTTCTCTCCGTTAATTTCTGCTCGTTTTGGTATGTGTTTCTTAATTTAGTTCAATATATTTGATAATTAAACTTGATTCGTAGGCATAATGTTTGAGAATCAGAAAAGGATTTGTTGGCATAAAATGACAGTCCCCAGACTCCCAAGTTAACTTTCATGTCTGAGATTAGAAATGTTAAGTTCGCTGTCATAGCTTGGGAGTCCATGTGTCCCAGTTTCCTAGGGACAGTGTGATTTATGCCTGTTGTTCTGGCATCTAGTCTGGTTTGTGCTCCCTTTTTTTTTTTTTTTGCAAGTTGATATCTCATCTTTATTTTTTTTTTCCATTTACTTTTATTAGTTGGAGGCTAATTACTTTACAGTATTGTAGTGGTTCCTGTCACACATTGACATGAATCAGCCATGGATCCACATGTGTTCCCCATCCCGATCCCCCCCTCCCACCTCCCTCTCCACCCGATCCCTCTGGGTCTTCCCAGTGCACCAGGCCCGAGCACTTGTCTCATGCATCCAACCTGGGCTGGTGATCTGTTTCACCCTAGATAATATACATGTTTCGATGCTGTTCTCTCGAAACATCCCACCCTCACCTTCTCCCACCCCTTTCATAATTCCAAGTTGCATGATAGATTATATGATCCTGCTAGTCATAGCTAATCCTAAATACTATTCTTACTTAGTTTCTTCTATACTTTGTATGCATAACAAAAAATATGAACAATTTAAATTCAAAATGGTTTAATTTGGGGAGTAATTTTAAATTATACATTAGTAGAAATTTCTTTAAAGGTTAATTTGCCAGCCAAATTTAGGGCTAAAAGTTGGAAACTTTGTGCTAATTAATTTACATATTCATCTGAGATCACCAGTCTTCCATTAGTTTTGATTAGCCATTATCTCACTAATTATTTGTGAGGAGCACTCATTGGGAACGTTCAAGTAGAATCTCTTTATATCTGAACCATGGTCTTCCACTCCAGATGTTAGATCTTAAAATGCTAAATTCTTTCACTCTTGCAGTGAATTCTAGAGATAAATATCAAATCATTGTGTAATCATATTAATATAGTATACTTTGTATTCTGCAGTTAGTAAACAAATGAGTCATCACTTTGTCCCTTTTAAAGAATTCTCCTTGAATCCATACATGTGTTGCATATAAGAAAAGTGAAACAGATGGCATGCTTTTTTTCCTGCACATAATATGTATGCATAAATGGGTCTCCTTAAGTATGTAGAATTTAGAACATCCTTTGCGGGGGAGGGAAGAGTTTGTGGAGTGTGTGTGTGTGTGTGTGTGTGTGTGTGTGTGTGAACTCAACAGCACTGTATTTATTATCGCTATACAAAAACCCACATTCAATCAGGTGGTACATTCTCTCATGAGGATACTAATGGGTAGTTGGAAAAGGCCTACTTAGTTTTATTCAAGATACTAGAAAAGAATTTTAGCTTCTTAATAGACATTGCCTCAGTTCACACAGGTCAGAATATTGATATTAAAAGCAGTAGTTTACCTGCTACACTGCTGGATCCAGCTTGCTTTAATGAAGTTTTTAAATCTATTGATAGTTTGCCCACAGTGTTTCTGTAACGTAGCAGCTGCTCACTGTACTATAAACTTGTTTTCTGTCCTGTGTTTTATAATTGGTTTACCAGCACCAGAAAATGTGTTCTGTTTTGTCCTTAGGAATGGGAAGCATGCCCAATCTGTCCATTCCTCAGTCATTGCCTCCAGTTGCACCCATAGCAACACCCTTGTCCTCGGCGACTTCAGGGACCACCCTCCCTCCCCTAATGATGCCTGCTCCCCTAGTGCCTTCCGTTAGCACTTCATCATTACCAAATGGAACCACCAGTCTCATTCAGCCTTTATCCATTCCTTATTCTTCTTCAAGTAAGTGCTTTGTGTCTAATGAGTCAGTATTTTTATGTGAAGAAACTGTTATATTTGCACCCCAGTAGATACAGATTTTTTTTCATACTTTGTGAAATGGTTTAATGTGAACCTTTTTCTTTTTTTTAGCATTGCCTCATACGTCATCTTACAGTCTGATGATGGGAGGATTTGGTGGTGCTAATATACAGAAAGCCCAGTCTCTGATTGATTTAGGATCTAGTAGGTATGAATACTTAAAACTTTAAACTTTTTAGGCTTTAATTAAGAAGGGCTTCCCAGGTGGCTCAGTGGTAGAGAATTTGCCTAATCCACCTCCAGTGCAGGGGAGACAGGTTTTTGATACCTGAGTCGAGAAGATCCTCTGAAGAAGAAAATGGCAACCCACTCCAGTTTTCTTGCCTGGGAAATCTCATGGACAGAGGAACCTGGTGGGCTACAGTCCATGGGGTTGCAAAAGAGTTGGATGCAACTTAGTGACTAAACAACAAACAAAGGCATATTTAACAAATGACTGTTTTTTAAACTTGGAGCTTATCCAGCTTTTACTTTCTAATGACCAAATGTAAATACTATAGGTGAATTTACTATTTGTAATTCACATAAAATAATTTTATTTTTAGAATTATTAAGTCTGTAGTATTTTACTTCTGAAAATTTTATATAAACTAAAAATATCCTGCTATATTTTAATCAGTCAATTTTTTGCCCAAAGCTACATATTTTTCCTTTCAAAAATTTCTCAAAACATCTCATGATCATTACACATTATTTCTTGAGCAAAAACTACTAATTGAGTATCCTTTACATTTCAGAAGGCACAAAAGCATCAATGTTCATTCATCACTCCTTGTATAAATCACAATAATACTCTAAAACAATGACCCAGAAAAACAATGTCTGTATCCTTGCTTAAACACTCACTGATTGTGTAACTTTGTTTTTCTCAACATCACTGAGCTGTAGTTTGTCCATATGAAAGATGGAGACAGTAATATCTTTTAAGTTTGTCATGGGGATTAGACATAATATTTATAAAGGCCCTAGCACTGTGTGGGGCCTGGCACATGATAGGTATTTGGTATATGGTAGTTTGAAACTTCATATGGTATTTACTTTCCTAAAGTACCATAAGGATAGATTATTTTTTCAGTATCAGATACAAAAGCAATTACTGTTATATTATAGAAGGTAGGATTCTTATTGTCTCTGACTTATAAAGTTTAAATGTATTTTATTTAATAACAAAAATTTAAAATAAATTTTGTTACAGCTCAACTTCCTCAACTGCTTCCCTCCCAGGGAACTCACCCAAGACTGGGACCTCAGAGTGGGCAGTTCCTCAGCCTTCAAGATTAAAATATCGGCAAAAATTTAATAGTCTTGACAAAAGCATGAGTGGATACCTCTCAGGTAAGTGGCATACAGTGCTTAAGAATGTGAGAAAGTTATGATTTTCTATGGACTTCTATTGAAGAGCTTTTATTTGAAGTTGTATTTTGTAGCTCATTGAAAATTTGAACATCCAAAAAAAGGTAGCAGTCATTTGATAAATACAAATAATGGTTAAGTTATGTAAGAGGTCAAAGTTCTTATAATCAAGTTAAACACACAGGTACACACCCAATGTTTTGAAAAGAAGACCTCTCCCTTGAGAAAGTCAGACCTCATCTTCCTTGTCCTCATGTGACCAGAGTGTGACACTAAGCCTCAGTTTCTGTGAGAGTTTCCTTCCTCATCGGGTCTTTCTCTGCTTGTCCTTCCAAACGCCTCACCTGAACACTGTTCACCCTTTAATGCTCCAACCCAAGTGTAGCTATAAAACTGAGATAACCTGAGATCCCCCTGGGTCATTTGAGTCCATGCTATAACAAACACCCAAATTCACTAATTGAGGATGGTGAAGTGGACATAAACAGAGGACACTAGGCAAGTAGAATTCCGGTCTTCTCACTGACCCCTCTCTTCTCACTCAGCAACGACTTAGAGTTTAGGCAGAGTAAAGTAAGTATTTATAATAGTAGAGCTTTATCAGATATGATATCACTTATATGTGGAATCTAAAATGTGGCACAAATGAACCTGTCTACAAAATGGAAACAGACGCAGAGACATAGAGAACAGAGGGTTGCTGAGAAGAAGGAGGATAAGGGGAGGGATAGATTGGAAGTTTAGGGTTGGTAGATACAAACTACTACATGGATAAACAACAAGATCCTAATGTATTTACAGTCATATTCAGTATCCTGTGATAAACCATAATGGAAAAGGATACTGAAAAAGAATGTATGTATGTATATAACTGAGTCACTTTGCGCTATAGAAGAGGTTGACATTGTAAAAAACATTGTGAAAGAATCTTCCTTTAACATAAAAAAAAACCTCCTCAAATCTCACATCTTGTTTGAAGTCTATTGAGTATTATTAATTAATTGAGTGAGGCTGTAAGCTATTTCCAGTGTATTTCCTGTATGTAGTTTCTATTAAAAAAGAATGGAAAAGATTTTAAAGTTACATATATAAACATTTGATTGCTTGTCACAATATGTGGTATATTTGAGTCTGTTCCATATAGAATATGTTGCTTTGATTATCCAGATCTTTGTGTTTAAAGTTGAGTGAAGCAGGGGATTTAGCAGCATCGGTGCTGGCTTTGTAGTGCAAGTGGCTGCTGAGGGAAATCTGGCAGTTGTGTGTCTTCTGTGTGGGGTTGTTCGGATGCCCCTTGACTCAGGCTGGACGCAGGGTAGGGCTGGCTCTTCCAGCGCTTGTGGCTTATGCACCTGAGCGTGGGAGGTGTGGCACCTGCTCCACCAGCTAAGAGGCCTTCACCAGAGGAGCCTCCGGATTCATCATGGTCCAAAAGCCACAGACAGGCTCACCAGGAGTGAGTGTTCCTCTGAAGCCAAGGGGGATTTTCTGTTCTGGAATATATTCATTGAAGATCAGGAGCCTGTTACGGAAACATGTTTTTGTTTTGTCTCACTGAAAGAGAGAAAAGAAGTTGAACAGTTTCCCATACATAGTAAGCATTCAGTGAATGTCAGCTGTCTTTATTATCAGGTGCTCTCATATAAGTAAGCCCCCATTGCAGCTAAGATAGAGGAAAACTTTGGGTTACAGTTTTATTCATTACTTTTGCAGATATTTATTAAGCATCTAGGTACTAGGCATGAGTTATACATTAATGGATACAGCAGTCAAGGCTTTTGTCTTCATAGAACTTAGCATAATAGGGGAAACAGACAAACAGGTAAACAAGCAAATAAATGTTACATTACAGATTATGTTATCAGAATAAAGGATAGAAGCAGGAAATATATTGAATGGTAGAGTGGACAGAGAAGGCCTTTCTGAGAAGGTGACGTTAGATTTTGACTTCACAGGTGAGAAGGACCTAGACATACAGTGATGTGGAACTGTAGGACTCGATGTTGCACCTGGTGTACAGGACAGGGAGGGTTAAGAGGGGACTCTAATTTCTGGCTTGAGCTACTGGATGGCCTTTAATACCATTCACAGAGAAGAATGGGGTGAATATTAGGAAGAGAGGCCTCTTTGGAGATTGAAAGAGTAATTTGGTGTGTACTTAGTTTGATATGCTTGTGAAATACATACATAAATTTTTCAGTTGTATGTAGACGTCTAAACTTAAAGGAGAGGCTTGGGCTGTGGATGTACATTTAGGAATCCTGTACTTCCAGGTGCTGTTTAGTCACAGAAATGGATATGAATGCACAGAGAGAATGGAGTGCCCAGGACAGATCCTTGAAAAATGATTTACACGTTATTTATAAGAGGAAGAGTAGAGACAAAGAAATAATGAGAGAGATAAGAGCAAATCTGAAAATGCTAAGCAAAGCTGTGCTTGGGAGCTTGGCCTCTAATGCTGGCTTAGTCATGTGTGATAGTCACTTGTGGGGACCATTATCTTCTGGAAGGACATGGGGGCACTTTCTTCTACTGACTGTAGATTTTAAACTCCTTGGTCCAGGGGATGTATTTATTTTGATGACTACTGAATGCTCAGTGCTTCATGCATGATAAAATCCCAGGATAGCAGCAGTGTTATTTCACGAGTACAGCTATTTAAGTTTGCATGACTTTAAGAGGCTAAAGAATCTTCTTTTATGTATTTTTTTCCCCACTAAATCAGGTTTTCAAGCTAGAAATGCTCTTCTTCAGTCAAATCTTTCTCAAACTCAGCTAGCTACTATATGGTGAGTTTGACTATTAATTATGATTTTTAACTAGACATTCTGTATGATTTTTAATTAGACATAAGAAAGAAGTCGTTTCTGTAAATGTTTGTGACTCAAAAATGTTCCACAAAAGCAACTGTGTGACAGTTAATACAAACCTGCAAGCAAATAAAATTGCTTTGTAGAATGTTACCCTTGAGAATTTGGCATTTAATTATTTTACAAGTAAAACTTGTTTGCTTTTATGTAATACCTTCTGTGGAGAATTAGAGAATATCTCATTTTCAGTGTAGAGCTTGAGGTGATTTGATAAGTGAATTAACCATGAACCAAGACAAGCTACCTTTTTGAAGGAAATATTTCCCTTTACATTTCAAAGTTTCTTCCCTCTCTTTGGTGATATGGAAATTAAGGGCAAAAATTAGCTCACTTTTCTGTATGTACTTTTCACTAAAATATATTAACCCAGCTGTTTTTCTGTCATTACTATTTCTTTAAAAATAAAAAGATTGAACTCTTCTGAAAATACTTTACTCTAAATAGGCTTTCTAAGTTGTGAAATTTTATACTTTCTTTAGGACTCTGGCTGACATTGATGGTGATGGACAGCTGAAAGCTGAGGAGTTCATCCTTGCAATGCACCTCACTGATATGGCCAAAGCTGGACAGCCGTTGCCACTGGCTTTACCTCCTGAGCTTGTCCCTCCATCTTTTAGGTGAGTGTCTCTGAAGGTTAAGGGGTGTTGTTTCAATCATGTTTGGCAGACAAGATTTTTACTCTGGGATTTCCTGAGGTCTCTGCTCTACTTTTGTGGAAAATGAAGCATTTACATTGCCATTTGATTTTGGTATTTAGTGAGTTACACTGATAAGAGGGTAGGTTTTAGAAGGACGTATGTGCTTTCACCATATTATAGATAAGGAAACTGATGCCTAAAGAGATTAAGAATAAATTTACCCAAGAATGGTAACTGGTCGAACCATGATCTGAATCCAGATCTGTCTGGCTTGATAATTCATGTACTTCTGTACAGTGTAACTATAGACCATACTGTTTTAAATATCTTTAATATTATATTGCTAAATATTAAATTGCTGTAGTCATTGGTAGTCTATATAGTCTGGTCTAAAATTCTCAGATCTCATAATGCTAAATTTATTTGTTGTTTGCCTTTCTTAGAGGAGGAAAGCAAATTGATTCCATTAACGGAACTCTGCCTTCATATCAGAAAACGCAAGACGAGGAACCCCAGAAAAAATTACCAGGTAACATTGAATGTCCAAGTTGTATATTTTATAGTGAATGCTCTTAAATTTTACTGTGAAGTAGAAATGAATATTTAGAATTTTAACTTTTTTAATATATTAAATGCTATATGAGAAACTATTTGATGAATAGGATGGATTTTTACATTAATAAAATTAAGACAGTCAAATTGGAGAAGAGACTGGTGTATATATTTGGCAAGAGTGTATGTATTAGATGTCCAATTTAAAGTGTTTCCCACTTTTGGAAGAAGCATTACAGCAAGCTTTATGATGAAATCTTGAGCTTTAAAAAAAGTTTAAATACTGGTTGAAAATGTATATGTGTATATATTTAAAAATACTAAAAAGTTAGGGCATATAACAAATATAGAGCCATACAGTTTTGGTTATCCTTGAAGAAAATGCTGAGAAAAAAATTGAAAAGTATTTTTATTGGCAGGAATAGTAAAATTATTTTTCTCTTAGACAGACTCAAACTTAGTGATTTGTTTTTCCTAGAATGAGTTTTTTCCCAAAATGAATATTCTTATAAGAAAATAAATATTGTATTATTTACATTTGAGTTAAGATTATCCTTAGAAGTATCCAAAGAGAAATTGCATTCACATGACCACAAGGCATGAGGATGTTGAAACCAGATTACAGGTTTGGTAGGTGCTTCATGCTGAAGAGTGCTTACGCTGTACCTTATTCAGTTACGTTCGAGGACAAGCGGAAAGCCAACTATGAGCGGGGCAACATGGAACTGGAAAAGCGACGCCAGGCCATGATGGAGCAGCAGCAGAGGGAGGCAGAGCGCAAAGCCCAGAAAGAAAAGGAAGAATGGGAACGAAAACAGAGAGAGCTACAAGAGCAAGAATGGAAGAAACAACTTGAATTAGAAAAACGCTTGGAGAAGCAGAGGGAATTGGAGCGACAACGGGAAGAAGAAAGGAGAAAAGAGATAGAAAGACGAGAGGTTATTTTTTTTTAAGTTATTTTATTTCCAGGGAAATCATTTCCTTTAATAAGTGGCTACATTTCATTTGATAAAAAATGGTACTTTTTGTTGTGATTTTTCTCAGCCTCATTCATTCATTCTTACCCTATATGAATCTGAATCTTCCTTCCCCTGTGAAGGCAAGAGGGTCCTTGCTTATGAAGGGTTTCCAGGGCTGACAGCTGGTAGAGAAAGCATATCTGCAGGTGGTATCTCAATCAGAGCAGGATTGGTCACAAAGCTGAGTTGAGCGAGGAGCCAGAAGAAGTCAGTTGATCAGGTCATTAAATGAAACTAAGCTTAGGATCCAGAGTAAAAGATCAAGTAATTGGAGAGGCAGAAAAATTCCTCCTTGAGAGGAATTAAGAAGGTGAGCTTACACAGATCCTTGGGATAAATGGTGCTGTGTGGGGTCCCTGGGAGGCCTGGCTGCATTTTCAAGGACTGTGCATGTAAACTACAGTGCCACTGAAATAATTGTAAATAAAAGTTTCTTATTCCCTGATACCAGAAGAAAGGTGCAGTTATTCATACTAACATCTATATGTATGGAGTTGTCCTTTTGTTTATTAAGGGAAAAGTAACTGCAGCAAGAAGATGATGCTTGAAGCAGTCAGAAAGTCTGGCGGATGAATTTGCTTTTGTGAAAGTCTTTAGGTCCATTGATAACAATAGGTTTGCCCAGTTACCCTTCGACCTCAAGTCCACTCAGTGCTAAATGCTGCCTCAGCTTTACTTTGTCCTCCCATCAGTTTTTGACCTCCCATCAGTTTTTGAATGATGCAAAAAGTGTTAATTTAAAAATTAACTTTGATTCATTATTTTCAGGCCGCAAAACAGGAACTTGAAAGACAACGTCGTTTAGAATGGGAGAGAATTCGTAGACAGGAGCTTCTCAGTCGAAGGAATAGAGAACAGGAAGAAATTGTCAGGTTAAACTCTAAAAAGAAGAGCCTCCATCTCGAGTTGGAAGCACTGGTATGCTTATAGATTTAAGTGAAATTTATCTGAATGATGCAAGAGTTACTTGTTGAGAATTATTACTGTTTTTTAAATTTACCTCATGAATAATTAGTCATATTTTCATATGTGCTTTTTAACAGTCTAGACAGTATAGTTTACTAAAAAAGAATAGTGACTCAAAATGTTGAGAATTGTGGTTTTAGTTTAGATGTGGATAGGCAGTGTACTCTTGGGTAAGACATTTCCCTTTTCTGTACCTCATTTGTGCATCTGTAAAGTAAAACTTTGTGCTGGTTCAGCGATTTTCATTTTTTCACACTGGAAAATGGTCTACAGAAGGATAAGCAAGAGGTGGGAGAGAGGAGCCAAGGTGGCAGGACAGTGTCTGCTCTCCCCACTTCTACCCACACTTCACAACAGAGAATCGCCACATTAATCTGTGGCACTTTTATTGGAGCTTTATCTAAACTTTGATTGGGAAAAAAGGATTCTACTGCTAAAAAGAAAAAAAAAGATCAGAAACTGCTGAGCTAAATGATCTCTTACAGTTTCTTTCAGTTCTCTAAGACTATGGTTGTTAACTAATACTAGCCATTATGCTTATCAGTTTTCACACATCAGATGTTGGTGCATCAAACTGTTAAAAGACTTTGCTTAAAATGCAGGGTGAGAAGATATAAAGGGTCTGAGTAAGGTATGCTATTCAACTACAACTCTGAAGTTCCATAAACCTGACCTGATTGTATAGTAGGGTTTTGCAAAAATTACATATGTAGCTATGTATAGTAGAACCATATTTGCATCTTGTTTAATTGTAATCTGATGTTTTATTTGGCTGATGAATTACATTTTTAAAAAGTCATAGTATCTTTCATCAAAAAGATACTGTTTTTTGCCTTCAAATAGGTAGAAAAGCATACCACAATTATTAAGCATGCCATAGCACCACAGAACAGTCCTGAAAACTTTAACTTCTTTATGTAGCTATTTGGATATCTGTCTGAACCATTGTGTTGACTTTATATTTTTTTCTTCAAAATACAATGGGAGGAATCCTTAAGACTGTGTATCCCCCCAAGAACTGGAGTAACACACCAAACAGTAGCACGTAGCACAGATTAATTGCAGAGTCTGGAAAAGCCCAGAGCCTATTCTTATATTTGCTGAAGAAAATAACATGAACTCCAGGATGGGCACAGCATATTCCCTTCAGCATATATTTCTCAAATATGAAACAGACTTTTCAGTAAAAACCTCACTATAGGTGATTTTTGACCAGTGGCCTCTTTTTCCCTCACCCCACTGTGTTTGCTAAGCCTGCCATAACAAAATACCACAGACCAGGTGGCTAAAACAACAGAAGTTAATTTTATCACAGTCTGGAGGCTGGAAGTCCAAGATCAAGGAGTCAACGTGTCTGATTTCTTCTGAGGCTTCTCTTCTTGGCTTGCAGATGGCTGCCTCCTCACTGTGTCCTCACGTGGTCTTTTCTCTGCCTGTGTGTCTCTGCTGTCTCTTTTCTGTCTAGATGTTCTCGTCTTACAAGGACACCAATCAGATTGGAGTAGGGCCCCCACCTGACCTCATTTAATCTTAATCGCCTCTTTCAAGGTGAAGTCTTTAAAGGTCCTGTCTCCAAATATGGTCATATTCTGAGGTCACTGAGAATACAGTCAACATATGAATTTGGAGGGATGCGATTCAGCCCATGACACCTTTCCCTTCTTCTTAGCTTCCATTGAGAATCTCTGCTATTTTTTGTTCCTTTTTTTTTTTTTCCTTCTCAGAAGGGAAAAGAAATATTGTTGTAAGAGAAGAGTATCATGGCCAAAGAGGCCCTCTTGGACACTGGTTAATGAAGTGAAAGTTGCTCAGTCATGTCCGACTCTTTGCAACCCCATGGGCTGTAGCCTGCCAGGCTCCTCTGTCCATGGGATTCTCCAGACAAGAATACTGGAGTGGGTTGCCATTCACTTCTCCAAGGGATCTTCCCAACCCAGGGATCAAATCCAGGTTTGATTCTTTACCCTCTGAGCCACCAGGGAAGTCCTGGACACTGTTTAGTTAGAGGAATTAGCTGGCAGTGTTGAAGGTAGAAATAGAAGTTCAGAGAAGGTAATCCTAAATGTCACATACTAACACCCTCTCCTCCTCATTATTTTTTGATATTTTTTAATATTAAAAATTAGTGTCTGAATGCTGTGTTCAGAAAACAAAATTCATTGTGTTGTGTTTCTGTGCTTTCTCATTTAACATGTAAGTCTCTTAGAATGATACATTTCCTGCCAATAACTCTCTTGAGTTAACTTGATATTAGACATTTATCTTAGGGGCTTCCCTGGTGCCTCAGAAGGTTAAGAATCTGCCTGCAATGCAGGAGACCTGGGTTCAATCTCTGGGTCGGGAAGATCCCCCAGAGAAGGGAATGGCAACACTTCAGTATTCTTGCCTGGAGAACTCCATGAACAGAAGAGTTTCCTGCTAATCACTCTCTTGAGTTAACTTGGTTTTAGACATTTATCGTAGAGTGAATATAAATGACAAAATGACACTTACAATTTAAATAAAATATTATTCTCTTGATGGGAGCATTTCTTAGTAGCATTTTATGTAACTGTGTATTTATATGGTCTTCCCGTAGAATGGAAAACATCAGCAGATCTCAGGCAGACTTCAAGACATCCGACTCCGAAAGCAAACTCAGAAGACCGAGCTGGAAGTTCTGGATAAGCAGTGTGACCTGGAAATCATGGAAATCAAGCAGCTTCAACAGGAGCTTCAGGTGAGTGCTTGGCTGCTGAATTGTCTTTCACTGTGAGCAGTTACTAATAAATAACTCTTCCTAATCTAGCAGTTTTTTGCTTTTGGGGTCCTGAACCCCTTGGAGCCTCTAGTGATCTCCTTTGTAAAAGGATAGTAGACATAACCTTGTGGAATATCAGGAGTCTCATGGACTCCCTAAAACTCTGCCTGACACCTGGCTAAATTCTGCTTAATATTTATACATTACCTGGGCATTTGCCACTTTGTGTTTTAAATCTTTAATAAATACATACATAAATATATATTAAACTAAGGGGGGCAGGAGGAGAAGGGGACGACAGAGGATGAGATGGCTGAATGGCATCACCGACTTGATGGGCATGAGTTTGAGTGAACTCTGGGAGTTGGTGATGGACTTGGAGGCCTGGCGTGCTGCGATTCGTGGGGTCGCAAAGAGTCGGACACGACTGAGCGACTGAACTGAAGGTTATTGTGACTACTTTTAGGAACTTTTACCTAATGTTGTTCTTTCAGAATTGTGGTAAGAATATTTTTACTAAATATGCCCTCAGGGACCTGGTAATTCTGCTCTTTATTTGTGCAGAAAAGAGACCCTGGAAGCATTTTGCATCTCGAGTCCTCTTAACCAAATGTGTTTTTTCGTAAGGACTAACAGTAATTAACATAATGTTTTTACTTTCTCACAGCAGATGTAGACAAGAGGCCAAATAACATTTCCTGTCTGATTTACACCCACTTTCTCAGTTATCCCTGAGTTTTTGGCCCCTCTTTGATCTTCATCCTGGTGTATTATGGCCTGCTTCCACATACCATTCAGTGCAGATACCAAAGGCACCTCTTACGCTGTGCCTGTTCTCATCCTTTAGTACATGGGAAATTGTCAGGCTTCTTGACATACCCTACTAGCAAAGCTTTCTTCACCACCTTTTATTTTCAGCCAGTCTTTTGTAAATGGATTTATGTGTAAATATTTATATTTTAAATCATGTGTAATCCCATTCTAGTTTATCTATAAGTTATAAGCAACTTATATATTATTCTACATATTAATCCCATACTAAGTTGTTTTTTTTTAATCCTATACTAAGTTTTAAGAGTGATGAAATCATGTTTTTACATTTTCAAAAAATTCTTAGACAACATTATAGAGTTTTAATCAGGTACTACTTTTTCTTTTTGTAAGGAGTATCAAAATAAACTTATCTATTTGGTGCCAGAGAAGCAGTTATTAAATGAAAGAATTAAAAACATGCAGCTCAGTAATACACCTGGTAAGTCTCTAAGGTTTGTTTTGCCTCTTTTATTCTTTATTCTTTTCTGATTGTGTCAGGCATACTCTGCTACTTTTAAAAAATAGCATCATTCTATTATAAATAACATTTTTTTTTTACTATAGTTAAACTTTTTTAAATAATGTGAAAATTATCACATGTTGGGTCATTTTTAGCAATAAAAAGTAAATGCAAATAAAGTAACAATTGTGGTCTGACTTCCTGTCTTCACACCATTTTTATTTATATACTTTAAATATTAATCAAATAAAATGTTAGATTACAGTTAAACAAGACCTCAGTTTGGCTTGAACACAATGCTATCTGTGCATTTTGGCAAGATTCTTCACTAATTGTAGAAAGAATTGTTTATGAGGACACTTTTCTATGAAGCCAAACCTGTTGGACTCTAGGGTAATAGTGTACAGCAATGATAGGCCTAAGCAACTGGCATGCCCTTCCTGGGACTTTAAATCATCTAACTTTGTGATTCATGTGAAGAATTTTACCAACTTGGCCCTCTGACAATTGTGGAACAAGATATTCCAGTGTAATTTATAAGAATATAACATTTCTCTTGATTCAAGTCTCAACCAGAAAACTGAAAAAAAAAAATTTCTATGTTGGATAGCATGCCAATAATAGCGTAGCAGAAGAAAGATTTATTTAAAGAAAAGTAACTGCAAATGTGTTAAAACTAGCTAAAGTATCCTAAATGTCTCCCACTGAGTGCCAGTTTTTCACTTTACAGCTCTTTATTACACTTCTGGTTGTTCAGGAGGTCCAATAAGTAGAGTTATCCATCTTTGCCCAAGTTCTGAACAAATTAAGAAATAAGGCAAAAGAGTAAGGCATGAGAGACCAAAACACCACTTCATTATTAATAAAGCTGATGTTAGATAGCATGATTTATCTGTGAGCAGTACAGCCGCCCAGTTCTGTAAGACATTGGGTGCGTGAACAGAATAGAATGCAGATTCCTGTGGGCAGTTCAACCTCAAGAAAGCAAGGGATAGGAAAGATATAGGGCCACATATGCCCAGGTCCTTATCTTGATCTCACCAATTATGTAAGAGTTAGAAGCTAGGACTGCTGTTCTCATCAAAGTCCTCTTACATGGAAGAAGCACCAGGTATGGAAAAATCAATCTTGTGACCTACTCTTATCATGTCCCCCACCTTCCACTGATGACTCTTCTCAGACCGTCTTCCTGGAACAGGGTGCTTTTTTCTTGGTTATTTAAAGTGTATTAGCTTGTGCTCGCTTCAGCAGCACATATACTAAAGTGTATTAGCTCCCACCTCACCCTTCACAGGCATTCCAGAGGCAACATAAGACAGCTCTCCTGATTGATGCAGGGTACAAAGTATTTTCATCCTCACTGTCAGTATCTGAATTGTGATTAAGATGCAGACTGTGTCTTGTTAGGGGCCTGGTAGAGCTATGCTTCTGGTAGAGCATAGATAACCATGCTATCTAACATCAGCTTTATTAATAATGAAGCGATATTTTGGTCTCTCATGTCTTGCTCCTTTGCCTTATTTCTTAATTTGTTCAGGTTAGCTGACTTCCCTGGTGGCTGAGGTTAAAGCGTCTGCCTTCAATGCAAGAGACCTGGGTTCAATCCTTGGGTTGGGGAGATCCCCTGGAGAAGGAAATGGCAACCCACTCCAGTATTCTTGCCTGGAGAATCCCATGGACGGAGGAGCCTGGTGGGCTACAGTCCACGGGGTTGCAAAGAGTCGGACATGATTGAGTGATTTCACTTCACTTTAGCTTTTATAAATTTATTCATCTTTGTTCTAGTCCAGTCCAGAATAGGAAGCTCTTATTTGGAGTTTGCAAAGTACCCAGTATCCCTTCGATTCCTCTCTCCATAACAGTAACCATTTAAAATTGTCAGCCACACACCAAGCACTATGCTAGACAGTTTTCATGCATTATTTCCTTTCATCTTGACAACAACCTTCTGAAGTAGTTGTTGTTATTCCCATTGTTCAATTTGGAAAAACTGAGATTCAGAGAGAATAAGAAGTTACCCAAGATTGTCTCAGCTTCCCAGGTGGCGCTAGTGGTAAAAAACCTGCCTGCCAGTGCAGGAGATGGAAGAGACCTGGGTTCGATTCCTAGGTCAGGAAGATCCCCTGGAGGAGGGCATGACAACCCATTCCACTATTCTTGCCTGGAGAATTCCATGGACAGAGGAGCCTGGCGGACTACAGTCCATAGGGTTTCAAACAGTCTAACATGACTAAGTGACTTAGCACACACACAAGATCATTTATTAGTAGGTTCAAATTCTTGTGTGTCTGACTCTAAAGCTCACTGCACTACAGTGTTGCCTCCTTCAGCTATCCAACACAGTGCTCGTAGATAGGATATGATCACATTCAGTATAAAGGCATCCATTATTCCTGTTGCTCAGTTTAAATACTAAGAATGAATATTTGACTTTTATTTTTCCCAATGCTTGTCTTCCACTAGAGTAGGACCCATGCTTATCTTTCACTTTTACCTACTGTTGAACAAAGAACAGGGCCTTGCATATAACAGATGTGTAATGTAATGATTAAATATTTATTGAAATACTGGAAAGCTCTTAGAATTATGAAAGAATTTAGCAAGGTGCCTGGATATAAAATCAGCATATAAAAATTAGTAACTTTACTATATATCAAAAGTATTTATTCAGAAAATATGGGGGAAGGTCTCACTCACATTAGCATTCTCATTGTTAAATGAACAAAGAAAAGCATAGCCATACAATTTTACTGATTGACATAAAAGATTCCTGGACAAGTAGCTACATATTATATTCTACTCCTGAATGAACGAACTAGCTCAACATTTTAAAGATATTGTTTAGTTCTCTACTAATTCATCTATATATTCAGTTTAATTCAGGTTTCTTTAAATGAAACTTGGCACAATAATTCACAAATTCACCTAGAAGAGAAAATATGCAAGATGAGGCAAGACATGAAAAAGTGGGAGGACTAGACTAGCCCTATCAAATATCAAAACATAAGTTATGAAAGGTATAATACCTAAAATAATGTATGTTTGATCAAAACTAGACAAAACACTGGAACTAAATAGAAGATCTAGCAACACAGTATGTGTGTATAGCTTTTGTCTCTCTAGTTATACCAGTTTGACCAGACAATAACCATTAATTACTGGTAAGGACAAGAACTTCTGCAAAATGTAAATTGTGTAATGTTTGTATTTCAGATTTAGGGGTCAGTTTACTTCATAAAAAATCATTAGAAAAGGAAGAATTATGCCAAAGACTTAAAGAACAATTAGATGCTCTTGAAAAAGAAACTGCATCCAAGCTTTCAGAAATGGATTCATTTAATAATGAACTGAAGGTATTTATCTTCTATTATTATTCATTTTTAATTTGCTGCTTCTTTACCTTCCTTATTTTGATTTAATTAAATGAATAACTGAAGCTGTTATTTTTATATGTTCATTATTTACATAATTTATTTTATTATTTGAGCTACACCAGAATTGCAAGATTATTTTTAATGTTCTCCATATATATTATAAACATTGAGTTGTGTAAACATACAATTTACTATAGTTTCCAGTTTTTGATGACTATTTTATTGGCATCTATACATTTAAAAAAAATTACCTTTGTCAATATTAGTATTAGGTTAGATTTGTCAGTATGGATCTCAGCCAGAATGATCTTAAGCAAATTTGAAAATGGGAAATATGAAAAATTTTAAATAGTCCAGGTGGTAGAGGCTCTTTTAACACACTAAATTCTTTTTTTACAATTTAATTAACCTTTGCGAAATAATGCAATAACCAGTGCAATCCAAAGCATAATTTGGCACTAAAAATTTTGCATGAAAAGTAGATTCGTGACTCATTATTTGCTACAGTGGAAGAGCAGATGTCCAAAACGTATACCATATGCTTCTCATTCTGTGCAGAATTAGTTGTATGCTGAAGCCATACCTATGAACAAAAATATTAAAAGCTAAAAATCAGACTAATAGCACATGATTGAAATTTTGGACTAGTCTCAGTTACTCCTTTGCTAACAAAGCATGAAGTTTTCAGAGCATAAAATATTACAAGGTTTTTCAGGCAAATCTGTCTCTTCATTTGACTTTCATCTTGCTAACTTATTTAGAATAATGTTACACCAACCATAAAGTAAACAGTATGATCAAGAAAAGAAACCATGGTGGTTTCAGTGAAGGAGGGAAAATTTGAGGTGAATAATATTAATGACACATTCTACACCAGCATATATTCTGTAGAAATAAAAATTTAAAGAAAACCAAATAATTTGTCATTGATGGACAGACCAACCAACCAGGTTATCTTCCCTACATTATTTTTCTTAAATCTGTACATAGTTTAATTGGCTTTTTATCTGCCTTATCTTACAGTGTGGGAATATGGATGACTCTGTTCTTCAGTGCCTTTTGTCTCTGCTAAGCTGTCTCAACAACCTCTTCCTCTTACTTAAGGTTATTTTCTAATATCTAGCTCTTTTTCTTTGAGTTACTTTACTGTTTCTTTTTTTTAAACACTAGACTATTCTTTGCATTTATCTGAGTATCTTTGTTTGAAATAACCTATACAATATAAACATTTTTCTTTCTGCTTGCTTAAATATCCTTCTGCTGTTTCACTGCCTGTTTGAGTCTAATGCCAGGAATCAGTAAGGTTGCCCAGAGTTCTCATGAGGAGCCCATGACACTTAGAAATATTACCTGGTTCCCTGTGAGTTAGACTAAATGATGGGATGATTACTGATTCAATTAAAAGGGAAACTAAGGGAATGTGAGACTAAATTATTTACCCATATCACTGAAAATTACTGCTTAAAGTAAAACTTAAATACTTTCTGAAATCTAGTGCAAGGTTATGTCATGTATATATATCAGGCTGCTTCCCAATACTATGATAAGAACCAGTAATGTAAGTACAGCTTTGGTTTTGTCTAGTTATCAGGTCTCATATTTAGATACACTTGCACCACAGAGAAAAATGTTTAAATCATATTTATAAATAAGCAGTTAATTTTTTCATGTGTAAATAGCACAAAGAATAGTTAAAATACTCAATGAATTCCTGTTTAAATTTAGTTTAAAGAGAGTTGCTTTATATTTACCACTAACTGAGCCTAGTAGATTTTTAAATACATTCTACTCAATATTAAAGTGGATGGCAATAGGGCACTTAAATGTACATACACAATGAAGGCAGGAAGTAGAACTCAATTGTTACCTAAAGAGAGGTAGATGGAAAGATTATATCAGCCTTTCCATTATGGTTATAGCATTAATTGCCAGATTATCTGACCTTGGAATATGTGCTTCAGATCACGCAGAAGTTTAAACCTGTTTCTTCATGTACACAGTGAAGTTTCACAGTGGTTTGTGGACTACGCTCACACACACAAGTCTGATTCTTTGAGTTAGCATTTGATTCTCCACAGGCCAGCAGATTATTCTTGTTTCTTGTTTTACTTTCTTCCTTCTGCTTCCTGCCTTCCAACCTTTCACTGCTTGTTGATGCTTTCATCAGAGGCAATTTAGGACTCTAAAAGGGGATGAAACCTATGCTATCAGAGTGGTCAGGAGAGTGACTGTCTTTACAGAAAGCAAGAAAAGAGGCTTTCTGTAGCCATTAGAAATGATACGGAGCAGTCAGTTAGCTTAGTACTGGAAAGTATCCATTGAATTGCCAATAAGGAGACCTTTGAAGACCTTTTTGAGAGTGTCATCTCAGTTGAGTGACCACCAGAAGCTGGATTGCTGCAGATTAGGAATAAATGGGAGCTGAGGAGGGGTGGAGTGAGTGGGAAAGGCTTTAGAAGAGTGAAAAGAGAGCATGGAGAAAAAAAAAAGCATTGGTTAAAAAGAGAGCATTGGGGTTTTTTGGTTTAAGAAAGACAACAAAGGATACAAAGTTTTAGTTATGCAAGATGGAAAAATTGTGAAATCCAATGCACAGCATAGTGACTACAAACTATAGTTAGCGAATTTGAACTGTACAATACAGTATTATTAAGAGGATAGATCTTAAACATTCTCAGGAAAGAAAGAAAGAGGGAGAGAAGACAGGGAGGGAGGAAATGAGGAGAGGGAGTGGTAACTGTATGAAGAAATGAGTATGTTAATTAGCTTGATTAGGGTGATTATTTCACAGTGTATATGTGTATTAAAACAAGTTATATACCTTAAATGTATAGTTTTTATTTACCAATTATACTTTATAATAAAGTTGAAAAGTAAAAGAATAATTGGGGCCACCCTTGAAAGTGGTATCACCTTTTTGTGCAGCATATGGATACATGAGGAATGAATAGTTTTTGTTAGGACAGAAGCATGAAATGGAGAAAATTGAGCTTTTTGGGTAACTAACTATATCCATCAGAGGGTAAAGAATCTGCCTGCAATTTGGGAGACCTGGGTTCGATACCTGGGTTGGGAAGATCCCCTGGAGAAGGTAAAGGCTACCCACTCCCAGTATTCTGGCCTGGAGAATTCCATGGGCTGTATAGTCCATGGGATCACAAAGAGTAGGACACGGCTAAGTGACTTTCACTTTCACAACCATATCCATCAGAGGGTCTTAATTGCCAACTCAAGCCAAATATTTTATTGCTGAATTCCAAACACCTAAAACAGTGCATGGAACATCATGGATGGCAGTACATACTTGCTGAATGGATGAATGGTTTTGAATGTTCTCAGTCAGAAGATAGGCAGCCTTTAGAGTGTTATTGGTATAGAGTTTATAAGAAAAAAGTAGAATGAAATTAGTCAAAACCAGTAGGAAACATATATCCCAGATTTTAAGAACACTTCTTGTTTCATATAATTTATTCTTTTAAGTAAAGGCTACTTTTTGAATTCAAAAAAGGAAAGAAAAGACTTGAAGGAGATAGTATAGAGAGAGGAAGGGAGGGAGGAGAAAAGTGAGAGATTGAGACTATTAAAGTGGTGATAATTGATGGAATAAAGTTCCAGGGAAGCAGATTAAGATATAATCTTGTTCTTCAAGATAAAAAGAATACTTCCAATATAGCATATGGGGATAAGATAGGCATGAAGTCAGTTAAATTTGTTGGTGGAGAGTAGGAAGTTGACAGCTTCAAAATTTAAAATCAGAAGCAAGTTGGATCGTTGCAAGAAATCATGAATAGTTAAGGACATGGAATAACTTAGACTAGAAGGAGATGGATCAGATGCAGGAAGGTTTAATGCTTTTGAGATGGAAAGATGAGGGAGATCCAGTCTGGCTTAATGTAGCAAGATTATTGGCTGATAGTGAGGAGAATGAATGGAAGATTGGGAAATTTCAGGAGAGAAAAGTAGCCATGAAATAACACATCTCAGTGTGGCTAGAGAGTGCAAGTTTAGTAGAGGAAAGCAGTCCACATCCTGAGGAATGTTGAATGCCTATTCACAGTTGGAGTTCATGAATTTAAAAAAGAAACAGCATGACTAATTGTCTTTTTTCTCTCCACCAAAGTTCAGCTGCTTATATGTAAGCATAGAAAAGGGTAATGACTTAGATTCATAGATTCAAACAGGTTTGAGGTTTTAATAGATAGGGGCAGAGAGGGATGAACAAGGGAGCTACAGATCTTAACACAGTAATTATGATAAAAATGAACTCTGACATATGTTCTGAACATGAAGGGATATGAAAAGAGGAATGGTTGTTGATGGAAAAAGAGAGGATGATGGGGTCAGCAGAGCAGAGGTCCCAGAGAGGTTGAAAAACTGTTGAAATGGATGCATCAGATATAAGAAAAGCTTGACGGATAAGAACTTAGGAAAATGGGATACTGATCAATGGTAGTTTTCTTTGAGATGATGACAAGATTCAGGGTATAATAATGCAAGTGATAGATCAAATGGAGCAAAAAAAAAAAAAGAGGTCATCATTGAGGAGATCAGCCTGAATTTAGGTTTTGATGGGGTTATCTATGCGGATGTCAAAGATTGGGAGAATAATGAAAATGAATGAGTGAGGAACAGTGACCAGGTGATTGATAGATGACAGTAAAGAGGAAAGGGAGGGTGTAACTGCTGGATGGTATTCTGAGCCTCAGAAGCATGGAATTTGTATGAGTGAGGACAAATAGTCATCTGGGAAAGGCAATGAAGAGCAATGAGAATATTCAGGCCAGAAACCCAGTCAGTCATATTCCTGTTACCTCAGGCCAGAAACCAGGTAAACCATCTCAACCAGGCAGTCATATTTACTATTACCAGGATGGCACAACTGACATTACGTGTCTCCTGATAGGATGCACTGAGAAGGGCACATCACTTCTGTGCTGTTTTTGCCAAAAATATTTCATCTGTGTAAGTGTAAGGAAATAATTAGGCAAACCCAAATTGTGGTTTGGTCTATAAAATACTAACCCAAACACTAGAAATGTGAATCTCATGAAAAAATGGAGGAGATCTCACAACAATGAAACAAAGTGTATGGTCCTTGATTGGATAGTGAATCTTGAAAAAAAACTTATTAAGGACAGTGTTTACACTATTGGGGACATTTTTGGAATATGAGTTTTGTATTAAGTAATATTACTATGTCACTATTAACATTCTTTAGTTTGGTACTGACATTGACACTAGTTATGTGGAATAATGATGCAGTTCTAGGGGGTGAAAGAATCAGTGTCTGCAACTTAGTCAAATTTTTTGTAAATCTGAAAATTTTCAAAATAAAGAGAAAAATTTAGAGTTGCAAAATGTTGTCAAATGTTTATGAAAATGAAATAGTAGTTTAAGTCTATTTTTAAGTTATAGCCAGACATTGGGAAATGACGAGGAGATGCGGGATAGTGTAAATGAGCAGATTCCTCATATTTCATATCAGGAGTCAACAATTATTTTCTAATTCATAAATCAAGCTGTACTTATAATAGATAAAATTATTACAGGCTTTCTCTGTGACTGGCACTGTCCTAAATGTTTTACTTATATTACGTAATCCTTAACATTACCCCAGTGATGTACCTTCTATTGTTGGTTCACATTTCACATAGAAGTAAATTAAGCTGCCCAGAGTCACACAGAGAGCAAAAAGAAATTCAACCCAGAGAGTCAGAATTTGACCTTAAATGGTTATATTAGGGAAAAAATGAAAATTTATTAGCTAAGTGTTCAACTCAAGAAGCTAAAAAAAGACTAGCATAATAAAGGAGGAAAAAAGTAGAAGGAAATAGTGAAATAGAACACAGATATTTAATAGAAAGAGTTAAGAAAACCCAATTTTTACTTTTATAGATTAAAAAGTTAATAAACCTTTGGCAAGAGATTTTAAAAGGAAGTAAAAATAAAGTTAGTAAAAAGGAAAAATAACTAAATACATTGCAAACAATAAGAGGGAATATTATGACAAATTTAGCATATAAATATAAAAATGTAGGTGAAATGAACAAATTATAATTTGTTAACACTGATTCAAGAAAAAAATAGGTAGCTCTGTTGTCATGAAATATTTTAATTCTGTAGTATAAAATCTCCTCTAAAAGAGAGTCCAGACCTGGAATTTTACTGAAGGAATAAATAACTCCAATTTTATACATCTGTTTCAAAATATAGAAGAGGGAGTATTCCCAACTTGTCACATGAAACTATCATAAACCTCATAATTTGATAAGAATAGTGTGAGAAAGGATCATTATAGATCAATTTAGCATAGAAGCAAAAATTCTAAATAATATTGAAAAGTTGAATATGGAAATTTATAAGACAGATACTTAGCTATGACCAAGTGGGATTTATCTTACCCAGGCAAACGTGATTTGATATGTAGAAATGTTTTACTGTAATTTGCCATATAAACAGATGAAAGGAGAAAAACAATATGCTCATCTTTCTAAAGGCAGAAAAGGTATTTGATAAAATTTAGCACTTATGATTAAAAAATTTAAGTTATTAGCATACTAGGAACAGAAGAAAACTTCCTTAACTTGAAAAGAATGATCTATTGTTCTGTTAAGATGGAGAACAGCTCTGTTCGTAAGTGCAGATTCTTTACTTGCTTTCAGTTAATTGATAGATTATTTTTAAAATCAAAGTATATTAATTTACAGTGTTGTGTTAATTTCTGCTGTCCTGCAAAGTGATTTAACCAGGACTTCCTAGAATGACTTAACTCAGAGGAGTGAATCTAATGATGCTTTCTAGGATCATTGTAACTCAGGTAGAGGAAATGTTTTTGGCAAGCCCCAAGGTACTCTTCACGTCTTACTAATATGCATAAACTATGGTTTATGTACGGTTAAGAGTGCCTGCAATGCAGGAGACCCAGGTTCTATCCCTGGATCTGGAAGATCCCCTGGAGGAGGGCCTGGCAACCCACTCCAGCATTCTTGCCTGGAGGATTCCATGGACAGAGGAGCCTGCAGGCTACAGTCCATGGGGTCACAGAGTGGCACACGACTGAGGGACTTACCTCACCTTAACTGTGGTTTACGTATTTTCATTCACCCAGTAAATACTAACTAAATGACTATAGTCTACCAGGCTCTCTCTTGGCTGGGATTATCTTGATGAGAAACAGTCATAGAGTTGGAAGATGCTGCCTGTGATAGGAGAATGCACATAATGCCTTGCAGAGACACAGGAGGAATGGCTAATGAAGGAAGACTTGGAACAGTATTTTTTTTTAACCTTTATTTATTTATTTGTCTGGTCTTAGTTTTGGCATGCAGGATCTAGTTCCCTGATCAGGGATTGAACCCAGGCCCCTGCATTGGGAGCGTAAGTCTTAGCCACTGGATCACCAGAGTAGTCCCTGGAACAGTATTTTAAAGGACAAGTTAGAGGGCTGACCTTGCAGCCATACTAAGATCAGACATTAATTTGGCCCCTCTCCACTTTGCTTTTAAACTTAAAATTCTCCTTTTTATGACTTCAGCCAGTAATATAGCTAATATTTATTAAGGACGCAGTTAGTGCCCTGCACTATTGTAAGCACTTTATGTGTGTTAACCCATTCAGTTCTCATAGCAATGCTGTGGGGCATGTACTGTAATTAACCTCATTTTACAGATGAGGAGACTGTGAGGCTTCCTAAGGTTACTCAGCTAGTCACTGACAGAACCTGATTCAGATCTTAGGGGGCCTTACTCCAGACCCATGCTTCTGAAGTCCTTTCACTAAACCAGGCTACTTCTCTATAGAATGTAACCGCAGTAGTCTTCTGCTTTTCAAGAGTCTAGAGAAAGGTGCAACAGAGAGAACTGAGATCTGTAAGAGAGAAAACTTAGATCTGAGTTATGTGAAAACTTTGCTATGAATGGTGGTATTTGTATTATTGTTGCCTTGAGTCTTGATCTTAGACATTTTGGACATAGTCTCTGGATACCACATTCACTCAGTCTAGTTAAAAGGGTTCACTTATAAAATATTTTTATTTCTGAAAAGAAATAGAGCTTAGGCTGTTTTCCTTTGTTTGCTCGTGACTTGGAGTTTTTGTTTTTGTACATAAATAGATGCCCCAAGACATCTTTTACCAAAAAATTCTATCCAAATGTGGTCTAAGCTCCCACCTTTGCTGTGAAGCTTCCTTTGTTTACTTTAGGTTTTTGTGGGAGTTTCTTTGTTTTTGGAGTTTTTCCTCTTCCTTATCCCAGCCTTTTTCTACTATCTTGTTCAGGATTCTGTAGATTCCAAGTAAAAGAAATTCAGTTCAAAATAATTAAGCTAAAGAGTGGTAATTGGAAGAATACTAGGACCACTAACTGAATCAGTACAAGGGGCAGTTCCTAGACATGGGAGTGAAGTCAGAGATTTGGTTCCCCAGCACTCCTTCTTGCTCCACCTCTAATCTTTAATTAATCTTTGCTTCTCTCTTTCCTGTGTTGACTTCATTTCTACCCTTAATGGTCTCACTGGGAAATGGGGCTGTCCTAGGTTTACCTTACCCTCACTTTAATGAGTTTAGTGAGGGAAAGGCTTCTTTCTCCCCTCCTCAGTATATCTGAATCCTGGGAAGGGATTGTGGCCCAGCTTGGATCATGTGCATGTCCTTTGCACCAGTCATTCTTGCCAGGGGAATGAGGTGCTGTGATTGTTTAGATCACGTGACCACACTTGGGTGGAAGTGGGAGGAGCACTGAGTGTGACAGATTCTTCAAAACCACATAGAAGGGTGGTTTTCAGGGAGTAAAGCAACTTCCCCAAAGGAGGACGAGTATGTTAGCAGAGAAGGGGAAGGAATGCAGAGTGGATAATCACAGGTTTCTGCTAAGACACTCAACTATATTCCAGATTTTGACACTTTTCTCTACTTTGAGGCTGAATTCTTTGAAGACAATGACTATAGACTCAGGAGTCAGATGGTCTTGGATTGGATCCCCTGTGAATCTTTATACCATTTTGCACAGAACTAGATGCTCAATAAACATTTAATTCCTGTTTAATACTTTTCATTATTTTGACCCACTCTAGTCATGGTTTTAGGTAGACATTATCTTTTCCATTTTAGTTATTATTTAAATTAAATAAATATTGCATAGTTTATTTAAAAATTACTTCTGTGTTTATTTCAATATCTGACTGGATAAAAGTTATGGGTAACTTGGTTCAACTACACATGTCAAAACTATGACTAAACAAAATTCTTCTTCAAATGTTGTAACCAGCAAACTGTTTTCCCTGGATTTTTAATGGATTGCTTTTCTATTGAAAACAAAGTACCAAAAAAAAAGAAAACGAAGTACCAAATCAAAGAGTTGGCTTGTAAAGGTTTTTGTACCTTAGGAATGAACTAGTATAAAAGTAGTTGATTTTAACATACATTTGTCTTCAGTGGCTATATACCTTCAGTTTTTAATGTATTCAAGATTTTTTTTATCATCTTTTTTAAGACTTTTAATCTTTTTTACTTTAGTTTAACCTGCTTTATGATTTTTATCTTTAAATACAGTTGCAACGTTTTTATGTAAGACAAAAGTATTTAAATCCATGCCATATTAACTTTTTATTTTCTCCTTAGGAACTGAGAGAAAGCTACAATACACAGCAGTTAGCCATTGAACAGCTTTATAAGATCAAACGTGACAAACTGAGGGAAATTGAAAGAAAAAGATCAGAGTTAATACAGAAAAAGAAACTAGAAGATGAGGCTACAAGGTAATGTAGTTGATAAATTTATTATACTATATTGCTATTAAAATTCTAATTTTTGTTGCCCATATCTTTAGTTTGACTATGAAAAATATAAGGGGAATAAAATTATTATCCTAAGATGCTAATTAGATTCTAAAGTTTAGAAGTTTAGTCCTTCTTTTGCGGACTGAGTTTACAGTAACCAATTGTAAATGTTCTCTTAGTGAAAACTACAGGCTTTGGAGTTCAACCTGGATTATCTTGATCTACCATTTACTATCTGAATAACCTTGGTTAAGTCACTTTACCTTTTGGAACCTCAGTTTTTACTATCTGAAAAATAGAAACAGTAATGCATACCTCATAGCTAATTCAGAGTTAAATTAAAGAGCCAAGGCAACCCACTCCAGTATTCTTGCCTGGAGAATCCCATGGACAGAGGAGCCTGGTAGGCTATAGTCCACGGGGTCGCAAAGAGTCGGACACGACTGAGTGACTTCACGTCACTCACTAAAGAGCCAAGTATAATGTTTAGTGGGTAATAAACACTCATTATTTTTGTCTCTCCATAGTAAATCTATTACTGTTTCCTGAGAAATCATAAAAACCAAGTACTTAATTTTATAGAGTATAGTATTGAGCGCAGAAATGCCATGTTGATACAGTTTTCTTTGTATATATCTGGGCTACATCAACTGCCTACATTTGTAGCAAAGAAAAGTGAGACAGTTGTGTATCTGAAGCATAGAGCCATTCATTTAGAGACTTCACATGACTTTTTTTTCTATTGGTAAGATTCTGCTTCTGATACGTTCCTATGTTTCTCCCAAGTTCTCTAGTGTCAGAAATTATTATAATTAACAAATATCAGCACACCAGCATTTCTTTACCCTGGAGGAGAGTAGAAGAGTAATGTCCATGAAAGAGCTACTGGGAAGACAAGAAAGACACATTACCATATAGCAGGCCTGTTTTCTTACTAACTTCAGAATAACCACCTCAACACATTTTTATTTAGTGGTCACTGTTGACTGTGATGCAGGTAATCTCTGGGTTACTCCTTGTCTCTAGAATCCTCATAATTCTAGTAGGGGATTCAGACAGCTAAGCAAATAGCTGTAACATTTTTTACTCTAAGACTCATACTTTTGTGACTCCCTAGCAAGAGATACTGGAATAATATAGATGCAGAGGCAGTAAAGTTTAAACTAAGGAGGTTTTTATCTGCCACCTAACTTGTGCAGCATTGTGTGACCAAGCTGCAGTGGCTGCACCACTAGTCACTGTGCTAGGACTTTCTGTTGACACATGCAAGTATCTTGATATCTCTCCATCATTGCTCATGGTTCCTTTCAGCCCAGTAGACCATATAAGCAATACACATTTTCATTTTATTCATCATCTTCACACATTATCCTACTTTAGTAGAGGGAAGCAATCAGAACATGTAGGATTGGTTCAGAGCTGGCTCTTAGTACTACATCTTGACTTCTTGGCCACTTGCCCAGCTGTTGCCTTCTCGCCCAAAGCTATTGGTAATAGTCAGGTTTTCCCATTGTAGGTCTGGTCTCTTTGCCTTTTGTCCAGCTTTTGAAGCATCTTCTGGCCCTGGACCAGTTTCTCATCCACAAACTTAGAAACTTTCCAAAATTTAATTTTATATTCTCTTAACTCTCTCATCTTTTCTTTATCCCAATAAATATGTGCCAAGTACTCTGATAGTGGTGTTCATAATGCTATGGCAGTTTAAATAAAGGTAGGTTGGGTCATCCTAGACATGAGAGACTGTCAGGGAACCTTACCAAGGACCTAGGAAAGGGAATATTGGTTGGAATTAAGTCAAGACTGCTAGAGAAGCATACCTCTGAAAGGAGAGGTGGATGTCAGTTACAGAAAATGCTAGAGAAAGCACTCTGCAAAGTGATAGAGGGTGTAGGAGGGTTTGCAGAGGGTTGAGTGGAAGCTAGTTGTGTGATAATGAACCAGGAGTATGAAGGGGATGAGGAGAAAGGGTTCGTGACTAAGTGGGTCTACAGTTTTTAAAATTATCTAGGATTTCCAAATTCTTCCAGGAATTATAGGAATAGAGATACAGAATTAAGCCAAGACTTTCACCTTTGTGGGGCATAAGTGACCCCCAAAACCCAGGATGCATCAGACACAATTGTCACAGCCCCTGATAGTGTGTGCTGAGGCTTGAAGAAGGTGTTAAATTTGGTGGTGACTGCTCTGCCTTCAGTAAGATCATCAAAAGTATGTGCAGGAAGAACTGTGGTGAGCATTAATTCTGTATGATCACAGGTCATCTTGACTAGCTAGAAACCAAGCTGCAGTTGTATCAAATGTCATAGAAACTTGTACAGAAGCACAGACCTCTTGAGGAAAAATGATCTGTTATCCAAAATCTAACAAGTGAAAGAGACTTTTAAGTGATAATATAAGAAGTAATCTGTCTGTTCAGAAGCATTTCCTATTTTCACAGCAATGACTAAATCCCTAAAACAGGGATTAGCTAGGATAGTGAGAGTAAGAGTTTGACAGCAGTCCTGGTGAAGAATCTAGAGAGAAGGGAAGGAAATTTAAATACAGTTTTTATATTTGCTTTCTGATTAGTTCCATTTCAGTTTTTTCCCACTTTTTTTCCCCTTGGTTTTGGGAGATTGACTGGGCAGGAAGAAATCTGAGAGTGTGAGAACTTGTTAGTCATACACTTCAGCTCATCTCTTTGTCCATAGTTTCTCTCTTGATTAATTGATTGACTAATTGGTTTTTTCCTTCAGCCCTGATTCCCTGTGGTTTCTCCACTCCCCCCCCCCCCACATGTCTTTGCTGTATGTAATAAATCCATAATTATGTTTAAGATTATATTTAAATATATAAGAAATATTAATTTTTCTTCAGTTTTTCGGGAAGAAGATCTGTTATATTTTTATTTTGCATAAAAGAAATTTAGGACATTATGCAAACTTTTTCTTTTTTATAAAGGAAAGCAAAACAAGGAAAAGAAAACTTATGGAAAGAAAATCTTAGAAAGGAGGAAGAAGAAAAGCAAAAACGACTCCAAGAAGAAAAAGCACAGGAAAAAGTTCAAGAAGTGGAGCGGAAAGCTGAGGAGAAACAAAGTAAGGATAAGGATAAAAATAATTGGTTTGATTTTTCTGAAACAGAGTTAACAAAAGCAACAAGAAAAAAAGATTCTAATGAGGCAAAAAGAAGAAGAAGAAAATTTAAATGGATGCTAATTCTTTTTCTAAATTAAACTTGGATGAGAAGATGTAGTCTTACTAAAACAGATTGAGGGTAGAAATCTTAAAATGACACAAAGAAAAGAAAGTAGTCATCACTACCAGTGCATAAACCTGGACACAGTGTTTATAATTGAAGTAATTTAAAATACTTTATTTCACTAGTGTAACTAAACTGTTTACTGTTAAGTCTTTGCACAGTGAAATTTTCTCAGATGATATAAGGTTGTTTTTGGTACCCCTCCCCAGTGTATTTCTAAAATATTAACAGTTTAAGTATTATTGTATCTTTTCTGGATACACATATTTTAGAATCCTTAATAATGATAAAATATATTAAAATTTTTATAAGTTAAAGCATTTATTCTACAAATGAACAAAGTAAAATATCTTTAATCTAGTAAGTCTAGTATACTTGTGAGCCCTTCTGCTGTTTTTGTTTTTAGAACCATACTGATGAATCTGTTATTAACCCTGTTTATACTGGCTCACTTCCTCATCTGTGACCTCCCTCTTGTGCTCATCTTCCCTGTGATTCTGACCTCCACAGATCAAATTAAGCCTCTTGCAGCTTAGTCTCCCTCCACCTGGCACAGCTCAGTCACCAGCCCTCACCTTCCCTTATCCATGCGTGTGACACATCCTGCCAGTCGTCTCCTTACTGCCTCCTGCTTAAGACAGTTATCCTTGTTTGTTTTTTATATTGATTCTGTGACTGTTAAAAATACTTAAATCCAGCAAGCCTATGTGAAATGGATTCTCATTATACTGTTTGATGCTCAGTTTGTTTGTTTTTTCTTTTTGAGCTCTTCATTGAGTCATAGCAAAGATGTGTATCTGTGAAAGAAGTAAATAATAATAATCTTCTCTTTAGGTGAGCCAGCTGGTACTTTGGTGAATTACAGAGCGTTATATCGCTTTGAAGCAAGGAACCATGATGAAATGAGTTTTAATTCTGGAGATATAATACAGGTTGGAAACTAAGTCTTTTTTTTTTTTTCTCATGAATAAGCTGAGTGCACTGTACTATTTTACTTTCAATAATAATATTGAGTATACTATTATGGGGCTTCCCTGGTGGCTCAGACGGTAAAGAATTATACAATAATTTACCATTTTAAAAGCACATCTTTAGCGTTACCTCATTTGGTTCTTAAGACATACTACAGATCTGCAGAGGACATTACAGGTAAGGAAGACTTAGACAAGCTGTAATCCTCAGCGGCACACTGCCAGCGGGGAGTGAGAGTACATGTCTTTGCATTTCTAAACCCAGTGTTCTTTTCACTAGGCCCTGCTGCTTTCTGCCATGAAAAGTGACACTGATTTTATTTTAATAATTACCAATGACATTTGGGACAGCTAGTTATTTTCTGACAACCATTAAAAGAGTTGAAGGAGTTAGGTTCTGTAGTTCTAACTAGATGCAGAAGAAAAAGGATTTTATTGTATAATCACAAGCCATGTAAAATGGATGAATAAGAAGATGCAGGGAATAGCATTGATGGAGCTATTGTGATACATTAGGAAGAATGCAGGCTGTAGAAGCATAGCGACTTGGACTTCAGTTTTCTTCTTAGGAAATAAAAGTTATATTACCTAGATTACCTAGCCAGTGTCTGTTTTCTTTTTTTAACCTGCGTTGTCACCAGTTTGGTGTATTTTATCAGTTGAGTAGCAAAAGCCGAATGGTACCTGGACTAGGGTTTACAAGAACCGGCTCTTCAGGTGCTCAGTATCCTCCCCAGCTGCACACTGCTTCTGTTGCCCTTGCCACGGTGGCTGTGTGTAGCTGCCCAGCTGAGGGAGGTCCGTTACATAGGCAGCTGAGTCCCGTCTCCTGGCCCTGCCATTCCTCCTTGTCTGGTTGGTGGTGACAAGGCAGTGTCCAAGAATGAAGAAATATAGCCTGTCTGGGCATGTCCAGCCAAGAGCTTACTTATATTTTTGATTAAATCTTTTGTTTCAGCAAATTCTTGTTGGAGGCTATACTAGGCTAGGGATATAGTAAACAATTCACAGTCTCTGCTTTGAATAAGTTTATAGTTTATTGAGAAAGATAGACATCCCAAGGAAGTAGAAGAAGGGTGTGGACTGCTGTCCACTCTAGAACAGACCTTTCCCACAGTCAGAGAGCCAGTCTGGTGGTTGTGACAGCAGGAACATGAGGTTAGCTGGAGTTTCTTGAGTGCTTATGTTCTCTGCTGAATCCTTGATGTAAAGAATGTCATGAGTTACTGTCAGATATCTGATTTGGAGGCTTCCCAGGTAGCACCAGTGATAAAGAACCTACCTGCCAATGCAAGAGATGCAAGAGATGCAGGTTCAAGCCCTGGGTCGGGAAGATGCCCTGGAGGAGGGCATGGTAACCCACTCCAGTATTCTCACTGGAGAATCTCCATGGACAGAGGAGTCAGGTGAGATACAGTCCATAGGGGTGCAAAGAGTTGGACATGACTGGAGCAGCTTAACATGCATGCACACACCTGATTTGGACAGCTTAGTTAATAATGGTGTTCATTCACTAAGAGAGGAAGATTAGAAGGAGGAAATTTAAGTGAGAATTATAATGAGTTCAGTTTGGGATGAGTTTCAGATTTCTGGGCAGCAGTTACGTATCCAGAGAGATCTAGCGAGATCACTGGCAAAGGTCAGAGGGGGCCAGTTTGGATGTCATCAGTGTGTTGTGATGGTCATTGAAGACGTGACTGTGGCAGAGCTCCCCTAAGGGGAATAAATAAGGGGGAAGATGGCTGAGGGTGCACTTTCTGGGAAGCATGGACACTGAGGGGACCCGGAGAAGAATGACTGGGGGAGGAAACAAAACAGAGTTTAGCGTCAGGGAAGTTTGAGAGGAGTGGCCCACATGTAAAACAAGACAGTGCTTTAAAAAAAAAAAATAACCATTGTATTAGCAACAGCAGTTACTATTAACCTGGAGGAGAAGAGTATTAGTTGAGTGGAGTAGTGGAGGAAGAAGCCAGATTTCTGTGAGTTGAGGAACAGTTGGAGAGGAGGAAGGAGCAGACAGTTAGTATATAAAACTCTTGAAGGAGCTTGGCTTCTGAAGGGGAAAAGGAAGTGAAGGTGGAAATAATAACAAATGTGGATTGAGGGAAGTTGTTCTGTTTTCTCTTTTTTTTAACTTCGCAGAAGCTTGAGCAAGTTTAATGATAGAAAGGGTCTGCAGAGAAAAAGGGTTAATGATACCAGAAAGAGTAAATTACTAATAGAGGGAGATTTTCTTTTCCAATTAAGCTATAATTTACATTTAGTAAAGTACACAGCCATCGGTGAATAGCTCCAATAATTTATACACATATGTAAATCTTTGAAGGGGCTTCCCAGGTGGCTCAGTGGTAAAAGAATCCACCTGCCAATGCAGGAGATATGAGTTAGTCCCTGGGTCAGGAAGATCCCCTGGAGGAGGAAATGGCCACCCACTCCAGTATTCTTGCCTAGGAAACCCCCATGGACAGAGGAGCCTGGTGGCCTGCAGTCCATGGGGTCGCAAAGAGACACGACTTCACAACCAAAACGACGACAACATAAATCATTGAAGCCACCGTTCAGATCAACACATAGAACACAGAGCGCTCAGGAAGGCACCTCAGGCCTCCCTGTCAGACCTCACTGTTCTGACCAACGGATGGAGAAAGATTCTTGACAATGTGGAGGGCTTGGGATCTAGAGCCCAGGAAGAGGGAGAGGTGGAAGGACTGGGTGCATTTTCCTTTGTGGTTGGAGGGCTGGATGAAAGAGTGGATAGGATCATAAATTTTGCTGAAGTAGAGGTGAGGTCAAATCTGAGGGCTTCTGTATTGTTGGTAAGATAGGAGGCAAGATCTAATCAACTTAATGCGAGAAAGTGGCAGAGGAGGTTTGAGAGAAAGTGCAATAAATTAGAAATTCCTCTGAACCCTAGCAACATTTTTCATCACAACCTATGTTTCTAGTCTTATCTGTTAATGCTGTTTTTGAAGTAATAGTTTCTCTAGGCCTGTGATAATTTATGTAAAATTTCCTAGCTTAGGTCTCTATGTAAACTGCCAACTAGAAATTAATTATAATCATAAATGACAAATATGAAATTGATTAAAATTGACCACTTACAAAGCAAATCTGGCCTAACTCTGAAGAATAAATGAATGGGCATTTTCTTTTTCATAAGGTTGAAAATATTAGGAAACAATATTAAAGAAATTATGCTTTTAAAAGTTTGTAAGAAAAAGAGGAAATTAGTATTTGAACACCAGTACTCATACATTTCAGTAATTCCTCACCTTGAGACCAAATATTTAAATCAGGTTTAGGTTGCATAATTCCTGGGGTTTGTTCTTGCCTTCATGGAGATCTACTGGTCTTTGTGAACTGTTTTTGTGTATTAACTTGGATAAAATTAAAAATTTAAGTTTAAAGGGGCACCTTTTCAATTGTTGGAGGTAGTAACCTATTGTAGAAAATGCTTTAGCTATGTAGTTAGATGGACTTGATTCTGAAAATTAGGCTTCTGGACAGTGTTCTACATCTCTTCTCTTTGCAAATATGTGGCTTTCCAACCACTGATAATTCTTTTTGTTTCATAGGTTGACGAAAAAACTGTAGGAGAACCTGGTTGGCTTTATGGTAGTTTTCAAGGAAATTTTGGCTGGTTTCCATGCAATTATGTAGAAAAAGTGACATCAAGTGAAAAATCTGTGTCTCCTAAGAAGGCCTTACTTCCTCCTACAGTATCTGCTACCTCAACTTCTGAGTAAGTTTTTAGCTAATAATGGAATTTATATGTCACTGCACATGTTTGAATCCCTAATATGTATTTGTGTCAACCTGATATTTAATCATATTGTAATCTGCACTGGACTCTGTCAGAGTACCTTTTGTTCCAAATTTAATACTGAAGTTTAGTAAATAAAAACATAGGTCATGATTTTTTTTTTAATAATTTGTGTTTAAGCACAATGTATATTATATATGAGTAGATAAATTGGTAGTACTTCATTAGATTCTAAACAGTTAAGTATACTTATATCATATTGTTATATTTATAGGTCACTTTCTTCAAACCAACCAGCATCTGTGACCGATTATCAAAATGTATCTTTTTCAAACCTGAGTGTTAACACATCATGGCAGAAAAAATCAGCTTTCACTCGCACTGTGTCCCCTGTGTCTGTGTCACCGATTCATGGACAGGTTTGTATGTTTCATTTTTGTATGTTTTATTCTTCGACATTGCTCCTGCTTCATATAAAATAGAATGAATATTTTTGCACAAAGGCTTCATTGATTCATTTACCAGTTTGTGGCATTTAGTTTAGGTTCTTAACCATTCATATGTGATACAAAGTTGAAGAAATTATTAGGGGTTTCTCAACAATTTATTCTCTTAGTAACAAATTGCTACCAGGTAAGGTTTCTAAACTCAAAATATCATCTTTACAAATCTGATTATATTCTTTTTTTTTTTTTTTTTTTAATATTTACTGGAGTCTCACAAAACACCAGGCATGTGCTGAGCTGTGGGAAGGAAAAGATGAATAAGACAGTCCCAGAGTCAAGGTGTTGGACAGTTTAACAGCAGAGAGAGATACAAACAGTGAAAATAATAAGAGTCTCCAGGTGCACTAGGAGAGAATGACTAAGAGCACCAGGGAGAAAGCCACGAAATTTAATCCCAGGCTTTCCTAAACTAGGTTGGTCATAGCTTTTCTTCCAAGGAGCAAGCATCTTTTAATTTCATGGCTACAGTCACCATCTGCAGCGATTCTGGAAAAAGCTCTGACCAACCTAGACAGCATATTAAAAAGGAGAGACATTACTTTGTCAACAAAGGTCCATCTAGTCAAAGCTATGGTTTTTCTAGTAGCCATGTATGGATATGAGAGTTGGACTATAAAGAAAGCTAAGCGCCGAAGAATTGATGCTTTTGAACTGTGGTGTTGCAGAAGACTCTTTTTTTTTTTTTAACTTTCCATTACTTTTATTTTTTTTTTCCATTTATTTTTATTAGTTGGAGGCTAATTACTTTACATCATTGCAGTGGTTTTTGTCATACATTGAAATGAATTAGCCTTGGATTTACATGTATTCCCCATCCCGGTCCCCCCTCCCACCTCCCTCTCCACCCGATCCCTCTGGGTCTTCCCAGTGCACCAGGCCCGAGCACTTGTCTCATGCATCCAACCTGGGCTGGTGATCTGTTTCACCCTAGATAATATACATGTTTCGATGCTGTTCTCTTGAAACATCCCACCCTCGCCTTCTCCCACAGAGTCCAAAAGTCTGTTCTATACATCTGAGTCTCTTTTTCTGTTTTGCATATAGGGTTATCATTACCATTTTTCTAAATTCCATATATATGTGTTAGTATACTGTAATGGTCTTTATCTTTCTGGCTTAATTCACTCTGTATAATGGGCTCCAGTTTCATCCATCTCATTAGAACTGATTCAAATGAATTCTTTTTAATGGCTGAGTAATATTCCATGGTGTATATGTACCACAGCTTCCTCATCCATTCGTCTGCTGATGGGCATCTAGGTTGCTTCCATGTCCTGGCTATTTTTTTTTTTTCATTTATTTTTATTAGTTGGAGGCTAATTACTTTACATCATTGCAGTGGTTTTTGTCATACATTGAAATGAATTAGCCATGGATTTACATGTATTCCCCATCCTGGTCCCCCCTCCCACCTCCCTCTCCACCCGATCCCTCTGGGTCTTCCCAGTGCACCAGGCCCGAGCACTTGTCTCATGCACCCAACCTGGGCTGGTGATCTGTTTCACCCTAGATAATATACGTGTTTCGATGCTGTTCTCTTGAAACAGCTCTTGATTATATTCTTAATGTGTAGTTATTGTAAGAAGAGCTGTGGGCTTGGAGGTTTTTTTGTTTGTTTGTGTTTTCCTTAAATAAGTCATTGTGTGAGAACTGTATTATATGTATATTTAGCCTCTAGTTTAGATGTAACCAAGATGCAAGCATTGTTACATTGCTGGTGGTTTAGTCACTAAGTCATGTCAGACTCTTACAACCCCATGGACGCCTGCCAGGCTCCTCTGTCCATGGGATTCTTCAGGCAAGAATACTGGAGTGGGTTGCCATTTCCTTCTCCAGGGAATCTTCCCGACCAAGGAATTGAACACAGGTCTCCTGAATTGCAGGCAGATTCTTTACCGACTGAGCTATAAGGGAAGCCTATTGTTACATTAACATTATTAAAAAGAAATTGCAGACTTTATCAGAATAGAGTCCTGCAGATTTCAGCTTACTCAGAAAATGTTTATTGTGTGACCATAGGTCCTAGGCATTTATTCTGTGCTAGAAATTTAATGGAAGAAAATTCTGTCATTAGTGAGTCATCAGCTAATGAAGACACAAATAAATAACTGTATGAGAAGTGTTGTAATGAAGATATTTTATGAAATCCTAAGGGGTGTACAGAAGAGAGAGCATTTCAGTTCAACCAGTGGGAATTAGAGCAGCCTTCACAATGGTTAAGGCATTTCAGTAGAACCCTCAAAAATGAGCAAGCTTTAACAAACAGAGAAGGAAAGTTATTCATATGAAAGAACAACTGGGGGGAAGTCACTGAGGTATGTTAACACAGGATTTATAGGAAACAAGTACTGTTTATAGTGTGGCTAGATTACCAGATTCATAAAGAAAGAGTTAAAATGTAGTTGGAGAGAGAGGTTGAGATTTATTTGTGAAGCATTTAATGCCATGCTAAGCAGCTGGCAGTGGAAAGTCCATGTGAACGTCGCTCAGTCGTGTCTGACTGTTTGCCACCCCATGGTCTATAGCTTGCCAGTCTCCTCTGTCCATGGAATTCTCCAGGCCAGAATACTGGAGTGGGTAGCCGTTCCCTTCTCCAAGAGATCTTCCCAACCCAGGGATCAAACCCAGGTCTCCCACATTGCAGGCAGATTCTTTACCATGTGAGCCACCAGTGGAAAGCGCATGAAGGTTTTCAAAAGGAGAGTTGAGTTGTGTATTTTAGAGAGAGAACTCCGGCAGTCATATAGAGGCCAGACTGGTAGAAGGTAGCACAGGGAGGAGACCGCCAAAGGGAGGATACCACAGTAGTAACAGGTGACGCTGTGAACCAGTGTCACAGAGGTGAAAATATACAGAAGCAGAGAGGGACTGACCAAAATTTGGCAATCCTTTGAATGTGAAGAATGAGGAAGAAGTTGAAGTTAAAGATACCTCTTCAGGGTCTTTAGCTCAGGTGACTGAGGGGATGGTGGTATCATTGTGCAGTGCAGAAGGAATGGGTTTGGTGAGTTCTAAAAGTGATTACATTTCAGATGTATAACTTAGGTATTTATATACCTAAGCATGAGGGCCAGGCCCAGCAGGCAGCTTGATGTACAAGTCTAGAGGTCAAAAGATAAAGTTACAGTTAAAATATAGATTTGAGGGCTTCCCTGGTAGCTCAGTGGTAATGAATACACCTGCTAATGCAGGAGACAAGAGTTTGATCCCTGATCCAGGAAGATCCCACATGCCACAGAGCAGCTAAGCCTGTGCACCACAACTACGAGCCTGTTCTCTTAAGCCCAGGAGCCTCACCTGCTGAACCCACGCAGCCTAGGGCCTGTGCTCCACAACAGGAGAAGCCGCTACAACAAGAAGCCTGAGCACCACAACTGGAGAGGAGCCCCCACTCCCTGCAGCTAGAGAAAAGCCTGTGCAGCAGCGAAGACCCTGCCCAGCCAGAAATAAAATAAATAAATAAAAGCATATACTTTTTAAAAGATACAGACTTGAGAAGTCCTAGGCATAAATAAAATTTTAAGAGAAATCACGTGAAACAGGAAAAGAAAGAGGCTGGACCAAAGAGGAGCTGTCAGTCACCAGATGGTGAGCTTCAGGAAACTGGAGGGGTTTCAGTGATGTCACCACCAATCAGAGATCAGGGAAAGTAAGGGTTTGAAGAAGCTTTTGGCTCTGACGTTATCAGTGACCTTGTCAAGAAGTTCAGTATTACAACGGTTGCAGAACCTAAATTAGAATGGACTGAGGGGTGAAATTGGAAACCAAGTGCAAGACTTCTGTTTCTTTAAGGAAGTTAGAAGTAGAATTAAGTAGAGAAGTAAAGAAATTAAAGATTCAAAAGAGAGAATTCACAATGTTACAAATATTTTTAGAAAATGAGAAGACACGGTAGAAAGTTTAGAGCCCAGGTAGAGGGGGTAGCCTTATCAACAAAACAGAAACCCTCCTTCCTCTGAGAGAAAAGAAAGGAGAAATAAGAATATGAAGAACTTATGAGACAGAAAACAAAAGTGGAGGAAGGTTGAGCACAGCTGCATCTCCATTCCTAGTGGAATAAACAGAATCCATTGCAGTGAGGAGACTTGGAAGTGAGGAGGGAAAGGGTTTCCCTTTTCATTTGTTATGTGATACATACTTAGTGGGTCTGTGAGTACGCATCTTCAGTACCCAGGGTTTGCCTTCCATACCCATGGTGCTTAATGCCAAGGTGTTTCCTTGAATGGTGTTGGGTCTTTAAATTCATAGAAGGCTATTCAGATGGTTGTCTGTCATATATAATTTTAAATCAGTTAGTAGATTAAGATTATCTTAAATCATCATTGATAATAACTCACCACCATACCAAACCGGTCTGTTGTTTGAGCAGTAAGTATGTTATATCCTAGGAATCAGAAATCACAGTTGTCATTGTTTTCTGTTTGTTTTTAATTTTGTGGTTTTGTATTCACAGGGACAGGTTGTAGAAAACCTGAAAGCACAGGCCCTTTGTTCTTGGACTGCAAAGAAAGAAAACCACTTGAACTTCTCAAAACATGATATTATTACTGTCTTGGAGCAGCAAGAAAATTGGTGGTTTGGGGAGGTTCATGGAGGAAGAGGATGGTTTCCGAAATCTTACGTCAAAATCATCCCTGGGAGTGAAGTTAAGCGGGAAGAGTAAGCACTTAGTTTTGTGTGTTTACATGAGATGTGGATGTTGCCAGTTTCACTGATGAGTCAGCCACAGTACAACTGGCTGTGCAAGAAAATTAGAAGTTTAAACTTAAGTCTGAATATCAGAATGGTAATTCCTAGAGTGAAAAAAAATCATACCTAAGGTATTTGTACCAGTTTTAGAATATCTTTTATTCTAGTTATTTCAGATTCCTAAAGTTTTCAAAGTGCTTAAAATTTTAGATTTGGTTGCTTTGTTTGTACTAGTAGGTCAGTTAGAGAAGTTATTTTCATTTCCTTTGGAGCTTTCTCCCTTGTTGTTTACTGTAAACTGTCAATATTTAGACAAATCTTTACTGAGGGCCTCGCCTCTGCCTCTCCCATCTCTGGATCTCCAGAGTTCCTTTGCAGGTCACCTTTCTTGGTGCTCATGCACACTGTGTTGTAGCTATTTCCCTTCTTACCTATATTCCTTATTAGGTCATTAGCTCCAGGAGGTGGGATTCACATCTTTTTTGTTCATTTTTTAGGTTTTTGATACCTAGTGTGATCTTAATGCCTAGTAGCTGCTCAATCATACTTGCTTAGTGAAGAGAGGAGCTAATGAAAGAACACACGAATGAAACTTTTGCATGAACAAAAAACAAAACCAGATGGGGTCTCTGGTCTTTATTTCCCAGTCTGTAGGGGAGTCAGGTCATCAAACATCTTTACTGCCAAGAACTAAGTACTCTAATGTAGCTGTGGGTAATTATCACTTGTGTTTTATGTGGAAGTTGGTCTAAATAGAAAAGCAAGATAATTTATTGAAAAGGAATGGGGTCATTGGAAATTAAGATCCTTGAGTTCTGATTCTACTATTTTTGCCAGACTGTATGGGGTAAGCCTTCTTGGTCTCGAGTTTTTTCATTAATTGAATGAAAATAACTAAAAAATCTTTAAAAATTCTTTCAGTGCTAAGGTTCTGTACATTAAGTTTTAGTTCAAATGTCAGAAGACATTTACTTTTCAAACTGACATGGAATTCTAGAGTGTGTGATGAGAACAGTAGCAACAGTAATAGCTGATGTGTGTGCTGGCACTGTGCTAGACCCTTTATGGTAATTATTTTATTTAAACTCCATAACATTTTACAGAGAAGGAACACATAAACAGGTTAAGTTTAAATGCTTAAAGGACATTTCTAACTTTTCATTCGATTACTGATCCTTTCTAACAGTAAGGCACGCATCTTGAAAACCTGCAGTAACGGAGAATTCAGCCAGGTAGTCCGTTCAGTGTGCTCACGAGTTGTAGTAAGAGTCCACTTTTAACCTGAAAACTGCTTCACTATATAGTTAGTTGCATCTTGGGGATCCCTGATATATATACAGATGTCTAGTTCTTACTGCCACAGTTTTCCAGATTTTTGAGAACTGTTTCCTGGGTTAAATTGAAAATAAAAGCTATATATGTTCCCAAATCTAAAAATAAAGTGCTGTTATTTTTATATATTTTAGAAATGTACTGTGCTATAAACAAGTAGTAAAATTTATAATTGCCCTTATTTTTTTCTAACCAAAACCCAGCCCCATATGTGCTTCACCAAATAACTGCCCATTTACCAGTGCCTAATGTCTTTTAGAAAAGCAAAATAGCTCACATTTGAAGAACTATTTGTAAATCATATTGAAATTACTTAGATTTTAAAATTTTAGTAGTTTGTAAGTAGGCAGTTTATAATCCACAAATATTTTGTGTATGAGCGTATTTCTAGCTTGTGTACTGAGACAGTATTTCAGTTAATTTTAGCCCTTAAAAGAGCACACTGCTGAAAACCTGCTGTCTTCATCAAACCATCTTCTTTATTTACGTGATGATACCTTTTTTATTGTGTTATTATTGTTTTTTATCTGTTTTGTGTGTTTATTTGGCAGACCAGAAGCTTTGTATGCATCTGTAAACAAGAAACCTACCTCTGCAGCCTGTACAGTGGGAGAAGGTGAGCTTTTGTTAATTTGTAAATTAGATGGAGGTCAAATTAGCTACTGACTAATTATATCACTGACTTCCCACAGTTGTTACTCTTATTGCTTTTGTGTCTTCAGTGTTAAAGTGAAATTAGGAGAAACCTGCTGCCGCTATATTTCACATGAATATTTAGGAGATAGAAAATATATGACTGAAAATACTTGACACTTTAAAAAAATCAGTACTATAAAAGTTCATATCAGTTCAGTTCAGCCGCTCAGTCGTGTCCAACTCTTTGCGGCCCCATGAACCGCAGCACACCAGGCCTTCCTGTCCATCACCAGCTCCAGGAGTTTACCCAAACTCATGTCCATTGAGTCGGTGACGCCATCCAACCACCTCATACTCTGTCATCCCCTTCTCCTCCTGCCTTCAATCTTTCCCAACATTAGGGTCTTTTCAAATGAGTCAGCTCCCAGTAGCATATTGGGCACCTACCAACCTGGGAAGTTCATCTTTCAGTTTCCTGTCTTTTTGCCTTTTCATACTGTTCATGGGGTTCTCAAGGCAAGAATACTGAAGTGGTTTGCCATTCCCTTCTCCAGTGGACCACATTCTGTCAGACCTCTCCACCATGACTCCAATAAATGAATAAATAAGCATTGCAAATGAGGTAGCATGAAATTTTTTGTTTTCCTTTTTTTATATATTATAGATGTTTAAAATACAAGGGAATTTTAGTACATTTAGTTGTTTATGAATTGCCTTTTTTTTTAGCCACGCTGTGCAGCTTGTGGGATTTTTAGTTCCCTGACCAAGGATTGAACCCAGGCCCTTGGCAGTGACAGCATGGAGTCCTAACAACTGGCCCACCAGGGAGTTCACTGAATTGCATTTTAATTACAGTATGCCACATAAATCATTAAGTAAGATTTGAAATCAAGATACACTTTAATCATAAATATTACAAAGAAATTTTTGTTGCCCCTTGGGTTGTTTGACTATCTTAATTTTGAAAATGTGTTGAAAAATGTCTACCCTTATTTCAGTGTTTTTATGTAATAGTTACATAGGTTTATAAATTAATGGTATATATCCATTGTAAAACTAGTTGAATAGTTTACATTTTGTTTATATTGTTCAAGAAAATCAGTTTAATAGTAAGTTAAACAGTTTATTCATTATCTACTAGAGATTTCTATGCTAGAGCCTGCAATTATTCATCATATACAAGGATGAATAAAACAGTTTCCCAGGTGCTAACAGTAGAATGGGAAGGATAGGCATATAATTGTAATAAATACTATAACAAATGAATGAAAACACAATTTTGAGTAGGACCTATGAATCCACAGAGGTGGCCACATTGAATCATCTTAAACGATGAGTAAGATCTTGCTTAGTGATGAAGGAAGAGAAGGCTTGGTGGACAGAGGGAAAGGCGTGAGCCAAGGCTCAGCTGTGAAAGGTTAGGGAACTTGAGTTACCAGCAAGCCTAGAGCCAGAGGTTTACTGTGGAATAAAGGCAGTGGAATGATGCTAGGAAAGTGGTGAGGAGCATTTTGGAAAGAACCTGGCTTGTTACAGCATACCTTAACCTTGTGGTCATTTTTTGTTTTATTGAGTCAGCTAAATTGAATAGTATGGGAATGTGGATAGTAAATAGTTTTTGTATGATGGTTCTGGTCATCTTCAGTTTATGATCTGCAGATCAAATTTCATGTCAACAAATACAAATACATATAAAAACTTACGTAGTTCCCTTAAAGTTATTCATTAACAAATATTTATGGAGCATCTATTCCATGCCAAGCACCGTGCTAGGATCTGGACCATTGTGATGGAAACTGGACTGTCATACCGACGTTAGCCGAAGAGTTGGCATTTGCATAACTGTATATAAAAGAATTAAAGAGAAAAGAATTTAAGAGATTAAACTATATGTAAGAAGATTAAAAAAAACTTTTCATGTCTTGACCCTGTAGAGATACTGATATGTTATTTGTAGCTTTGGGGTTATTCTCTGTGACATGATGATGATGATGATACAGTGGGAAAAAAGAAACCTGTGATAAAGCTTTCCATCCATTCTAAGTCGCTTCAGTTGTGTCTGACTCTGAGATCCCATGGACTGTAGCCCACCAGCCTCCTCTGTCCATGTCATTCTCCAGGCAAGAATACTGGAGTAGGTTGCAGTTTCCTTCTCCAGGAATTTTCCTGATGAAGGGATCGAACCTGTGTCTCTTACAATTCCTGCACTGGCAGGCGGTTTCTTTACCACTAGCACCACCTGGGGAGCCCCAGTCTTTTTCTAGTAATTATTAAATAATTACTTCATTCTACTTTCTGCCTTAACATCTCTTTACATTAGGTTTCCTTAAGTCACAAGGTCTTTTACGGCAAATTTACTCAAAATCCTGGAAATTAACACTTTTTTTTAAACTTCTGTAATCTTATAACCAAAATTAGTTTCTTTCTTCTTTATTCCCTACAGAGTATATTGCACTTTATTCATATTCAAGTGTAGAACCTGGAGATTTGACTTTCACTGAAGGTGAAGAAATATTGGTGACCCAGAAAGATGGAGAATGGTGGACAGGAAGTATTGGAGACAGAACTGGAATTTTTCCGTCAAATTATGTCAAACCAAAAGATCAGGAGGTAGAGTTCCTTTGGTATAGAAACAGAATCAGTCCTGTTGCTCAGGCTCATGTTTATAAAGGAGGCTTACATGTGGTTTTGGTCAGGCTGCTTTGGTTACAAGGAGACCATTTAAGGTGACTCCAATAAAATATAGTTTATTACAGAGATCCTGTTAGATAAAGGAGAAATGATTTTATGAAATTACAAGAACAAGAGCCATAGATAGGGCTGGGCCTCATGGTAACTGAAGTTAGGGAATGGTTTGGATTCAGGGAGGCTTAAAAGGAATCTGTAAATCTTTAAGGCTCTGATGTTGTTATGACCCAGCCCACACTTGGAGTTCCTGCTGCCTTTCTCCCACCATTAGCAGCAGTTCTCAGACTTTTTGATTTTAGGAACTTTGCACATTCTTAAAAGTTATTGAGGACTCCAAAGTTTCTGAAAATATATGGATTATATCTAGCAATATTTCCCATGTTAGAAATTAAGACTGAAATTTTTTAAAATTTACTAATTCATTTTGAAATAACAAAATTAAACCTACTATATGATGACTTAAATAACTTGCTTTTAATGAAAAACAAATATGTACTTCTCCCTCTTCAAAAATGTTTAATGAAAAGAGTAGTGTATTCTTTTGGTTGAAGTAGTTGAAGAAAATTCAACCTCACACAAATATGAGAGATAACAAAAGTATTTTAATGACATGTTCAGATATCTGCGGATGTTCTTCTTTAACACTGCTGTACCAAAACTTGACAAGTACTAAATTTTTGTAGATTATTTGCAGTGCAGACTCTGAAGCCAAATCAGTGAACATTCCTTATTGTTAACATTAAAATTCATCAATCTGTTTTTTTTCCATTTATTTTTATTAGTTGGAGGCTAATTACTTTACAATATTGTAGTGGTTTTTGCCATACATTGACATGAATCAGCCATCATCAGTCTGTTTTGCATACTGAGTGTAATAACATCATTCATTGATTATTTGGGAAATACTGAATCACTGAGTTATGCAAATATTCCCTATATTGCAACATTTCATTATATAATTTTTTTCATTATATAATATTTAAAAAATTACGTTTATGGCTTAAAGACTTAAACGTAAGACATGACACCATAAAACACCTAGAAGAGATCACAGGCAAAACATTCTCTGATGTAAATCATACCACTGTTTTCTTCAGTCGGTCTCCAAGGGCAATAAAAATAAAAACAAAAAATAAACAAATGGGACCTAAACAAACTTACAAGCTTTTGTATAGTAAAGGAAACCATAAACAAAATGAAAAGGCAGCCTACAGAATGGGAGAAAATATTCGCAAATGATGCAACTGACAGGGCTTAATTTCCAAAATACACAAACAGCTCATACAACTCAACAACACCAAAAAAACAACCCAATCAAAAAATGGGGAGAAGACTTAAATAGACATTTCTCCATAGAAGAAATACAGATGACCAACAGGCACATGAAAAACTGCTCAACATCACTACTTACTAGAGAAATGCAAATTCAAAAGTACAGTGAAGTACCATCTGACAGAATGGGCATCATTAAAATGTCTACAAATAACAATTCCTAAAAATAAGAAATGTGATTGGCCCAACTTATCCTGTAAAGTCAAACAGGTCATAGTTGCTGGTATGCATTCTTTGTTCTTAGGTCAGGATCCGGTGGAACATGACAAAAAATTAAAAATAAAAGCATTACCTTGTATGTAGCAGGAGCAAAACTCACATATGCCTTAACATACCCAGAGCACGTGTGTTATATGTGGTGGGCATTGATTCTAGCCTCCCAGTGATGAAATGTGTTTGTGTTAACATTTAATACTCAGAAAAAATTCAGAAAACGAGCTCTTCCTGTTGAATTGCCAACATCAGCTACTTATATATAATGTATTCTGTCAGAATCAGATCTCCCTATAAGTATTGGATTCTTAACTTATTTGATCAGTATAAGGTTAATCATTATTTTGCTCTTACTCTAAAAAAACAAGGAACCTGGGAATTAGAAATCTCTAGTTCCTAATAGCCTGTGTACTTTTAACCCTGGATTGTTGAAAAATGATAAAACAGTGTATCTTTTCCCTATAGGGTTTTGGGAGTGCTAGCAAATCTGGAACATCAAACAAGAAACCTGGTATGTATCATGAGGAAGCTGACAAACTACTAAGGTGTTTAATAGTCTTGAATTCATAGTCCCTTGTTTGTCTTCTTTTCAGAGATTGCTCAAGTAACGTCAGCATATGCAGCTTCTGGTTCTGAACAGCTTAGCCTCGCACCAGGACAGTTAATACTAATTCTAAAGAAAAACACAAGTGGGTGGTGGCAAGGGGAATTACAGGTAATAACTAACTTTTAAATAACATTTGTTAATTTTATTATAAAAGTAATGCCTGCTCATTAGAAAAATAAGATTAATAAAAATTTAATTTGTCTTATTTGACTAATAAATAATTAATAGTTAGTTTGATTGATTATTAACAAAGCTCCAAGAGGTATTTACTTACTAGGAGAACATTAGAAAAGTCTTTTTAAGTTTATAGATATTATTTGTGTGAAGTATGCAGAGAACTTTGAGACTGAACAATCTCTAAATAGACTTCTACAAATAGTGTTGAGATGCATATTGAATCTTCCAGTTGTTTAATATTGACCTCAAAGACCAATGCAGAATTCAAGTGTTCTCAAGACACCCTCCCTCCTAACACAGATTGTAAGTTTGGAGGGCCCTGAGACCACTCCCAGATTCAGTAATTTCCCATAAAAACTCACAGGACTCACTGAAAGCTGTTATGGTTACGATTTATTACAGCAAAAGGATTTAGATTAAAATTAGCCAAGGGAAGAGATGTATGGGTCGGAGTTCAGGAGGGTTCCTAACACAGAGCTTCCCGTTGTTCTCTCCCCATGGAGTCATGGGCAGCATTAAATCTCCTGGCAGCAGTACACATGGAGTATTGCCAAGCAGCGGCTCACTTGAGCCTTGGTTTCCAGTGTGTTTATTGAAGCTCCATCAAGTAGACACAGTTGATTGCTCACCTGGCTGAACTCAGTCTCCAGTCCCTCCAGAGGTTGAGTTCATATTATGACCCAAAGGGTCCACCATAAATCACATCATTAGGCTCTCCCGCATGGTTAAGGCCCCCACATAAACTGAGACACTCTTTTAACAGTCATGACATTTCAGAGGTTTAGAGATTACCTTCCAGGAGCCATAGGCAAAGGCCAGGCCTCCCTTTAGGCAAGGTTAAATTCTTTACTACACAGTTTGGATTTTCTCATTTTTATTACTACACAGTTTGGATTTTCTCATTTTTAGTTTATGTCTCAATAATTGTCTTTAGTCTTATCTTTTGTGTTCTTTTTACTCATTTTATAGGCCAGAGGCAAAAAGCGACAGAAAGGATGGTTCCCTGCCAGCCATGTTAAACTTTTGGGTCCAAGCAGTGAAAGAACTACACCTGCCTTTCATCCTGGTATGGAAATGGGTTAACTTGTGTTTCATCTTAGGAAGTTTTCTTTTTTTTTAACTCAGCATTTCTTAGATTAGCCAATTCTTTGAAAAATATTTTAAAATTTGTTCTTTCTTTACCTCTGTGAGAACTTCCTTTCTAAAAAGTTCTGTTAGAAACAGCCAGCTGTTCAGTGATGCTTGAACTACATCACTCCTTGAAGTTGTTTAATTGCTCACCATAATACTTCAAAGCAGTCGCTTGGATTTCCAAACTACATTTGGGAAATTCTTGCTTTTGTGAAACAGGGAATAGAGGAAGGAGGGTGGGAGAGAACAGCTAAAGGGAAATCTTGGCAGAATTTTAAGGTATGATGCTAGTAGGAAGAATTACTCAATTTAACTTGTTACTTTGTTGTTCTTTCTCTGGTAGTGTGTCAGGTGATCGCCATGTATGACTACACAGCAAACAACGAGGATGAGCTCAGCTTCTCCAAGGGACAGCTTATTAATGTTTTAAACAAAGATGATCCTGACTGGTGGCAAGGAGAAATCAGTGGGGTGACTGGTCTCTTCCCTTCGAACTACGTTAAGATGACGACAGATGCAGATCCAAGTCAACAGTGTGAGTAATATCAAACTATTTACTTCTTAATAGTGCATCAGCTTTAACATACAGCACTGCATTCCTTTACTTTTCTCAACCAAATCTTAAACTTAGCACTCTCAGCAAATGTATATTAATGTTTAGAGTAAGAAAATATAATAAGAAACTTTCACAAAATCAAAAGTTATATTGCTTTTTTTCAAATATTTTTTTCCTAGCTTTAGACCTTACTGTTAGACTTTATCTGAAAAAAAAGTTCTAGTTCTTTCATGAGTTCCTTGGTATGGTAGCAGTCTATACTGCAGCTTATTTTTACACCAGTCTTTTTCAGCTTAAGGGAGAGCAGAGACTAGCTGGCAGTTAGTGTATTCACCTGTGCAGAATGACCCTTTTAGTGTACAGGTACTGTTAATTTCACAGCCTTATTTATTTCCCACGTTATTACATAGCACCCAGGTTAGAAGAAAATTATAAAATTTATTTTATAAATAAAGTGCTTGCAAAAATCTCTTTAGGTGATTTTTTTAAGGTAGGTAACTCATGCCACAGAGATATATGAATTAAGATCTGTTTTACTACTTTTACTGCAAGGCTCCATATCTCAGTGTATATGATTTGGTATTACATAAAATTATCTCTTGATACCTAACCTCTTACACTTGACAGTAAATGTAGCATTAGAGAATAAACAGTACTTGGAAATATTTTTTTAGCTTCATAAAATAGAGGTCACGTTTCCTCACCCTTTTGATCTTTTTGTCCTTCTTAATAAAATACATCATGATTTGTGTTTTTATCATTCTTGTGAAATTATCTAAAAGCTTTAGCCTCTCATTTTAACTTAGCTTCTAAGAACATATAAATGGTAACCCAGTCAAAGCTGAGATGTGTTTACAATTAAGGGCAAGTATTATGAATTTACTTTGTACTATATCTATCATTTTAAATTATTAGTGCATTATTTTCACTTTAGAGCTTATAAAGATCATTGTGATTTGGGGAGAAGACCGTCCTTTAGATAGAGCAGCTGAATGTCCCAGTCTGGAGGTGGAGTCCAATTTTTTATGCTTTGAATATTCCTAAAAATACCTCAAGGTTTCAGGAGAGGTAGTAAGGAAAATTATAAAATTTGGATTACCTAAATGAAAGACCATTTTTATTTTTTTTATTTTTATTTTTTTGAAGGTAAAGGACATTTTATTTATTGACAGATTAAAAACCATAACTCCAGGTAGTGCAAAATACACCACTGAACCCAATTACAAAGAACTGGTGTTAATATATAATGTTTAAGCAATGCTACACTTATTTTTTGGCAAAGTGCTGTATTGTTTAGTCTGTGTATAAAACTGACCATCTATGAACCAATCAGTACAAAAATTTTCTATAAAAACAAAAAAAATTTAGACAGTGGCTCAAGAAAACAAGCTGCCATTTATGCATAGATTGATGTACAGTATATAACCTAACCAAATGTCCCTTTTAAGTTTTCAAGTTGTTGGGAAAAAAAACACAAAAAAACTGTGTGAAAGACCATTTTTAAATTCTACTGATGGTTTGGCAGTTTTCAGGGCTTGCCAGTTTGTCTAGTTAATAAAAATATCCGAGGTGTCTTTCCTGAGCCTGAGAGAGGAAGGTACTTTTCAGACCCACTAGGTCTGGAAGATCTTGGGCTAAGTGATCCTTGGAGGCATTCTAGTTTGTCAGTGCATTTGACTTTTATAGTATCTACAATGTAAAGTGATCATTTTCCAAATGTTTTGTTGTTATCTTGTTTTCCAATGGTGGAACATATTTTTTCCCTTTTAAGTCTTATAATAAGAAATATAAGAAAATATGAAAGTGTTCTAAAGGAAGAACAGCCAGGAATATATGAGTCAGTGAAAACTAGTTAAGTTTTAGACTACCATGTGTGTTTCTCAAGGCTTTATAAATATTACTTTCATTTTACTAGGTAGTTTGAACATTTTTTAAAGGTTGAGAATTTTAGTAGTTCAAAGTTGTTGACGTTGCTTGTAATCAGTAGAATTTTTCTCACCCACTTGATTTGCTTTATGTTCATTTTATCCCTCATTTTTCTTTTTATAGGACCCAGTGTTGTCTTCCAGTGTGAAAGCACCCCAGAGACCCACTATCCAAGTTTGACTCTAGCGTGGAGACAGGGCAGGCAGCCCTGATCAAATATCTCCTACACAATTCCTTAGCTTCGTTCTCAAATGTTAGAGCCACTTGTGGTTATTTCTCTGTGTTTCTAATTTACAGTTAAAATTTATTTGTAACAAGTTAAAGGATAGTGGGTCTTTGTGTGGCTTTCCCTGCTGTTCACTCTGGCATCCTTTAGCATTTTTCTTCTTTTTTAATTTGGTAATTGTAGGTCATTAGCATGCATACTGAGTTTGCCCTTACATGGTGGGAGTTCAAACACACAAAGACCCACTATTTGCACAAACTATTCTTGCTGGTTGGGAATGGGCTGCCATGCTTTTCTAATGTTACTGCAACATGTATATTCATTACAAAATTCAGAATTGCTTATGTTTTGCTGTTACCTTTGACCTAATCCTAATCACAGTGAGCTCTTAATTGGTTCAATATGCAATTTGTCCCCCAATAGGCACTGTTTCCTCTATTACTTTCTAATATGCCACTATACATACCAATATTTAAGTTTGTTAAAAGGCCAAAAATTGGAAATATCATTTTCTCTATTTTCTGTGTATTTTGGGGTGGGAGTGATGACACTTTGGGAGAGCTTTTCTTACCTCATAGAGGAGGGAAGTGGCCCACCCCACCCAGCCATATGTGCAGAGCAGGGTGGGTTTTATCTGTTGCGGCTATCCCAAAATGAGCCCTGTACTGTGGGAGTCCACTGGGGTATCTGGGCTCATGAAGATACTGCTAATGTGCTGCAGCAGGCAGTTGTTAACTTCTTTACTGATTACCTAAAAATGGATTATTTTTGAGGAATGAAAGGCTCCCATCATTGACTACAATATATGACACTTTCTCTGCCTTAGGCAGAGCATTTATATCTATACATTTTAAAGTCAGAAATTCATGTTATCTATTTTAATGAGGTGACTCTATGTCCCAGGTCACAAAGGGGCACAGGTTGACTTTCTTCTTAATGTATTTAGTAAAGATCATAAGAAATGCTTGAAGAGTTTAAATGCCCTTGAAGCAGGCAGACAGTCTCTATCTAGTTGAGAATGAATTAGAGTGAAGGAAAGCTGTGTGGGAGCTGGCATTCCTCTGTGTCCATGAAGCTGCTTTGTGGCTACAGAACTGATTTTACCATTCAGAATTCTCTACCTAATATCTATTCTTCAACCACATTGGCAACTTTGGCATAGGACTTCACTTCTTTTCCTTGAGCCAAAAACTGCAAGGATAGTAAAACATTATTATAAATGTGAGAGTACTTAGTTGACTTTTAGTGGATAGTATTAAATCATATTTGAAAATCAATGAGAAGATTATGCAATTTAAACTGTTTACAAACTGCAGTGCAATCTACTGTTTCTGAATGTCCAAGTATTATCAGGAAAAGTGTACATACAATCACAGAGTCTTATTTCCTCACAGAGTTCTTTAAGAAGAGTGAAATGTGTTTTTATATCTCTGAGGCATATTTTGTGCAATATTTGTTTTAATGTGCCTATACATTATGAATGAATGATTTTAGTCATATGTTCCCTAAATCATAACTTTACAACACTTGAGGAAGAGTCAACGGTTTAGTTAGAACTTCACAAAATTTAAATGTCTGTGTTCCAGAATACTTCACATCGTTGGGATGTATGGTGACAGGCATGTGTGCTCCCTGAGGCAGGGATTTCTAGTTACTAGACCACCTCAACTTTTAGCATTTGGCATCATCATGATACTTTTATAAAATATGACATTAAATGGAAAGCAATAATATTATTTTACAGGTGGCATAACAGATTTGCCTGCAGTCACTAAAGGGTACAGTGTAAAGACTGAATCCTTGTAAATTCAGCTGATCTTCTAAATTTGTACGGGTTACTTGGTTTTGCCTTTTATTTTCTGAACATGTTAGTTGGGTTCAAATTCAGGGCAGTTAATTTTAAATCCACCTTAAATCCTGAAGTTAAAAATAAGACCACTTAATTAATTACATGATATAGTATAACATTCTCTCTTTATAATTTTGAATTTGGGCTTATTTAATACACTGATAAATTATTTCAAAGGTATTTTTGTAGCTCAAATTGCTTCCCTTTTACACTGATAACTATAGATTATTAAGAATGACATTCTGATAGAGATTAGTGTCTGTAAATCAATTTGAAAAGAATATATTCATCAGGTACTAAGGACTAAGTCTTATAATGGCGTATTTAAACTGAGTGTCTGTCTGGGAAATAAATTTACTGTATTTACAGAAATACCTCTCTCTGTTTAGGTATTTTGTCATATACTTGACAGGAAGCTAAAAGTAAAGGAAATGGTATGACATATAATAATAACTCGTCCTTTTTAAAAGAGCATGCAACCCTTTGCAATACCTCATATTCAGCCACATATTTGCTCTCTTCCTCATTCAGTATAAGAGGCAGCTTCAGTTTACTTAGAAAGCAACATTAGAAGGAGTTTATCAGGAACGTAGAATTTTAAAATGAGAGCACAACTGAGCAAATCTGAACCCTGTAGGAGGTGAAGAATCAAAATACCTTAGTGAGTGTTGATACTTTGCGTCTGAGTAAAGCTGGAAAAAAAAAACCCACAAAATACCTGTTTATTTAAAAACTGCAGTATGTTGTAATCATTTCTACAGTATGTGATTAAACCTGATGGGTTTTTCAGCAGTGAAAAAATCAGTTCTAAGACCAAAGCTGATTTTTTTTTTTAGAAAATTTGAAAATCTAAATCAATCCTACCTGTTGTATAGTTTCCTCTAAAACTTTATCCTAGGGAGTCATTTTAAAATAATACAGCTATTAAAACAGTATAACTGCTACATTAGTGTTTTAAAATATAATATGAATTCTGAT